TATAAGAAAAACGGTATGCCACGAGCCAAAAATTGTTCAAAAATTGTTTAAAAAGTGGGATCCACAGCAATTTATGATTATTTGTTTTTTTTTGTGGCACAAAATAGACTGTTAAACTCACAGTAGATTAACAACTGTCATTTAATCATTTCTCTACTAAAAATTAATGAGAATATACTAGCATAACCACATTAGTGTTTCATATTTCCCTTTTACTGTACTATATGAAGTAAATTATATTAAGACCAAAAGATATCCGAGAACATCATACAGAACTTGCAGCAAGATGTGACTGATTGTTGACATATGAAAGCTACATGTTAGGTTCCATTAGTAGAGAGAGAGAGAGAGAGAGAGAGAGAGAGAGAGGACCACACAGCAATAAAGCCAAGATCTGAAAAGCCCTCTAAAATATGAAGGGAAATAGAGATAGCATGTGGAGCTCGCAGCTCTATGCATGGAGCTGTGTGTGGATATATTTTGTTTTCTAGCATATTGTATTCGAGATATTCGCTTGCCTTCGTGTAAAAATCGAAAAAAATCATCAGACCATCAATTATTAATTGACCTATGAACTGAGAACGGGAGTGCATGTGGAACCACATGCAAAAAGGCTTCCCTTTTCCTTCTTTCCTTTTTCCTAATGCTCTAAAACGCCCAAGAATCACAAAGCCAAAGGATGACAGGACACTGTAGACGAGTTTGCATATCAAGGCCAAGACTCCATGGACCATATACTCCAGGAAAAACCTAGCCTTTATGACATGGTGAGGGGTATATAGTATATACAGTGTATGCATCTGCAGATGCGAATGCTCTGTGTCATTTACCCGACAGACTTCTTCTTCTATTCTCTTCTTTTTGTGGTGTTTTGTCTTGCTACATGTCGGATCCTTTTTGTATTTTCACTTTGCTGTTATATATAGATAAATGCGTATATTATCGGGTCTTTATTCCGTTCTATGTCTGGGAAAGAACAGGGGAAAAAAGGAGAATCCTTGGAGACGCAAAAAGCAATCTACTTTGCACACTGGACTAGTTAATACCATCTTCAATCTTGATTACTGGCAAAACTCAGGGGCTAAGTGTATAATAATGGGGGGTCGTTCCCGTTAAGACCGTCTCTAGGCTTTATTATTGATAGCTAGCAAAAAGACAACATAAAGGCCTTAGGCAAAGCCAACTCGGTTTTGTCTTTACGAGCGACACATGAAAATCGCTTTAATCGAGACGATAGAAATGAATTCAATTTGGCGCACGAAAGCTAATTTATGATAGCAGCAAAGCCAACTCGTATTTATCTATATGAGCACCACATGAAAATCGCTTAAATCGAGACGATAGAAATAGATTTAGTTTGGCGCACGAAAGTTGATGTATAGCAACACCTAATTATACGATAAATTGTATGTTGATAGTTTCTTTAATATCATTTTTTTCCTTTTTTATTTTTTGGGGTAATTAGTAAACTTTCCAAATCTTTGAAAAGAGAGATAAAGGGGTTTGTCTGCTGATTCCACCGGACTACTTTTTCATATTCAGCTTTCCTAAACCAAGAAAGCATTTTCTATGTTCGTGTCCACAAGGATCATGCTCCATGCCCTAGGCATTTCCGAGAGAGATTCCTGCGATCACTGTTAGATATCTACAACTCCGAGGCAGATTTAAATAGTTTGTTCTTTTCTTTATGATGCCTTTTTTTAAAATGATAAATCTTGAACAGATGGTCCCACCGAAAAATTCTTCCTTGAGCTTGTTGGGTCAAAATTCTGTCTCAATCCGAAGTTTCTTAAGTTATATTTTGGATATTTCTCCGTCGATATAAAACGTGCAACGAGCTACTTATGCATACCAAACGAAGAAAAGTCAAATTAAAAGGTTCGTCGATGGCGGAAGTCACATATGTTAGGTGACTTAGGTCCAGGAACGAATAATGGATGTTCACGGACATGCACGTGAATCACCTAGCTCGATTAGGTAATATTTAGAGTCCCCGTCAATCAAATTCGATTTCAACTCAAGTCGATTGAGCGCCTAAAACTAAGGACTAGTGGAATGCTCCTTAATGTTTGAGCTATGGGTATACTAAAAATCAAAGACACAGTATTTGAGAGTATAGTTACAGCTGGATAAAAAAATGAGAGAGAACCTGGCTTGCCCGGTCCCTAAAGGCTCCAAAGACCGACCCTAATGACTATTAAGGACTATGCATTTGTATGATGAGGAACTTCACGGGGTACATGGACACGCCGAATGATCATTTAATTTTGCGACATCTTCTTGGTTTAACCTGGTGCACACGCATGCCCTATCAGGGCGAAAATTTAAATACAACCATCACTAAAAATTAGACACCAGAGAAGAGGGGGTGAATCAGAGTCAAGTTTTTCATCTACCGTGTAATAAGAACGAGTAATAGACACACATTCGATAGCGCATTAGAAAAACTCGACCTAATTTAGCCTCTCCTACTCTCTCTTGTGTGTTTCTACCTTAATTAGAGCTTAGGATCGGAGAGTTAGATGATAGCGAAATTATTTTCTGTAGCTCCTAGCATTCCCCAGACTAAACAATCCAATAAGTGGCCAACATGCTCTAAGCACACTACATTCGCTAGAGCTCTTAGATCGAATGAATTCATGCTAGACTCATCTTATTCAATGGGCGCAAGATTTCGAACTTCTATTTTGGACTGTACTATTTAAAGTGAGATGCATTTTATTTGTTAATTAATAGAAAAACTTTAGATGGAAACTAGATGTGTGCTAGAGAAGATGCATCATAGTCAAGATTATGCAAAATGGTCCAACATTGTTTACCACTAAATTGAGCTTCCATGTACTTGAATTAATATTACTTTCGTCGATGTATGGGTCAAAAAGTTGGATTGCGACCTAAACCAGCAAAATCTGTACTAGACAAACAGAAACCAAACGAGAACAGTGCAGGCATGGAGAAAGAAATTTGTGACGACCCAAATTGATGGAAACTTGTTTTTTCGTCACCCCTTCAACTTAGAATCCATTTAAGCTGTCAATCCAATTTAAGGACTTGATCCTCGTCCATACGTGAAAAGATTCCAGTTGAAAATCCACAGGTGAAGGCAGGTAGACGCTGACACAAATAGATATGACAGGTATAATATTTACATATCGGAATCGGCATTAAGAAATTGATCATGACATCATATCATACATAAAATTGCATAGAGCCAATGGTGTAATTTGAAGTAAACTTACGAGAAACAATTGCGATAGTGGCCCGAATGTATATGTCAATGCCCGACTTTCGTTATTTTGCCCAATTTCACTAATCATATGGCTTGATCAAGAGAGTTAGGTAACGAAGTTCCCCGCTGGACCACTGCCAAGTAAACCCTAGAAGAACCAGTCAAAAGTATTAAGTGGAAAACCTAACAATGTGAAGCCAAAATCAAAGTTATTCTTATGTTGATTGACAAAGACATGCACGCAGCATGTTGAATGATTGCTGCTCCTTGCTTTGATGAAAGGGATGTCTGCTGTTGAACTGCAAAGAGAAACTGAAGTACTCAACCAGTTAACCAAATTCCATAAAATACTTCTCACTATATCAAAGTCTCATATAAATATAAATATTGCATCACAAAAAAAAAGATGGGTATATAAGTAGAGCTAACTATTCAGAATTTTGGTGAGACAAGCTAATTATTTATGTAGGACACTGAATTTTTTAGTGGTGCAAGAGTCTTATGTTATCCCCATCACAACAATGCATGCCCAGCCTTCTAATCTTTGGGGACCCGAGGGAATGGTGATATTGCAACTATGCATTCATTGGCGAATTAAAGGGCAATTTTTTCTGCTCGTGGACAACCTTAAATGGGAAAAACCCCACCTTGGATTAATGCAATTAAAACCTTCCCATCTGATTCCAATCTGTAATAATGGACCACCTCATGCATCTTACATATGGGTCTAGGGCAAAGTCAGGCAATAACAACCCTATAACTAGCTGGCATATTGTATTTTGGAAAGTCTGGATCTAGCAACAAGATTTTATCAATCCCTTCTTTATATTTTATTCATGTTTTGGAATAGCATTAGTGTGTTGAATCCTAGTGAAACCTGTTTTTTTGTTAGAGTTTCATCTATCTATTTCTGGACCTTTTCATCCAGATTTCAATAGATCTTCTAGAATTGATCTTAGTATAAAACCAAAAGAATTTGTAAAGCCCCTCAGGCTTTCTCTTCATGGATGCTAAAGTTATTAGGTATTCAATAGCTGCGATGCTAGGTTTATTTCATCAGCAGATATAGCAAAAGATATCTAGTTATCAACAATAGATTTCTGAGCAGAAGGAACTTAAAGGAATCGATCACTAAATATGTGATGATATTTTACATAGATTAATTCCCTCAATAAATGTATCTCAAATGAATGAACTCGGCCTCGCCCGGTTGAATATCAAGCTAACGCAGATTTGCTATCCAATATACAGCTAATTTTAACAAAATATGATTTGATCACAGAACCAATTGTCCCATTTGTAAGGATATATGGATACACATTTCATCTCAATTATACTTGGCTCGTAACCGTTTCATCCACGCGCATGTCGGATAACGCCACATGAATAAAGTGGGTTCGTGCGATTTTTCGGGTTTAAAAAACGCTTATTTAGACACGAAAAGTCTTCAATCGAGAAAAACGGGCTACTTACTCGAGCCGAAAATAAAGTTTTCGCTATGCAACAAACACTTTTATCATATTTGGCAAGCATAAACTGTCTAGAAAATGAGGATAAAGAGATTAGAAATAAGCCAAAAGAAAAGCAAAAGGGCAAGCAAGTAGCAAATTCGCCTGGAAAGAAGGTTCTTTGGCCAAAGTGGTGGTAGAAGGAGTGCATGGCATGACGGACAGGTTACAGACCACAGGGCCTGTTTGGCCATGAGGACCCTGCTCTCGTTCGGGGACAAAACACCCCCCATTGAAATTATTGAATTCACAAAAAAGCTCTCACTTTAGAGCTTTGCATTGACCTCTCTCTCTCTCTCTTTCTTTCTCTCTCTCTCTTGGCCAAAATTACTTCTCCACCAGTCCCATTTTTTCAGCACTGTCTGAAGCTTTCCCTTTCTCGTTCTCTCTGTCTCTCTCTCTCTCTACACCCAGCATTATCCGGAGTCATTCACTCCCTCTTTCCCTGCTAAATGCGTTCAGTCCAGTCATGATCCTTCAATTCAGGTACTGTTTCGGTCTCCCATCTTTCTCTCTTCTCCATTTATGAGCGTTTTCCTTTCTGGGTCTGCTTCCGTTCGCCTTCTGGGTTAGGTTTTAGCATCTGGGTCTCCTCCAGATTCGAGGATCTGGGTCGTGGTTCCGCTTAAATTTGCAGTCTTGAGATCCAGATCTGATTTGCTTCAATTGGTGTTTGATCGCGTGCTTGTGTGGTGAGACTTCCAATGGCCTTGAGTCTCGACTTGCTTATAGTTAATCAAGAACTGAACGAGCTTGCATGATCTTTTGGAGCTGACTATTGTTAGCTCATGCTTTTACCTGCTGTGGTCCTTGAAGTCTTTTGCTTTGCTTTTATTTCACCTTATTTTTTTCCTTTCCGTTTTCGCAATTTGAGTTTCTAATTTCTGGGTCCAAATATTGCTCCTGGCTCTTTTAGGTTTCAGTAGCTACAGACGAAATCCCTAGTTTCTTGAGTTGTTGAGTAACAGATACTTGATTTCATTCGAGGTTTTTATACGGCTTTCTGCAACCCGGAATGCGGTGTTAGGCACTACATTGTTGTGAAAGTCCACATTTTTGCTCCTGATTCATCACAGGTGGAAGTTAATCGGTGCTCTTTCAAATCTGATCGTTATGTTTCTTTTTGGTATGTTCTTCTGTGCTGCATGAAGTGAAGAGTAGGAAATATTTGAGTATGAAAATGATGAGTTTCTGCCAATTTAACATGGTTGATATTTTCCCAGTGGAGAAATTTTTGCCACAACTGAAATTGGACTTCATATTATGTGGGCAAGCAGATGGAAGATGCAGTTCCATTGATGATGAGTCCCGAGCCAGGGGTATCTTCGTCTTGATTTGTTTATAGATTCTCTGCTTTTGCTGAGTCCTATGGCCTCTAAAACTACCTCGAGAGCTTCCCCTAAGCAGCAAACCAAAGTAGCTGGTTTTGTCGCAGTACAGAGGAATGATCACAGCTTTTTATCTTCACAAAACCTGAAAGGGAGCAAGCCTGAGCTCGTGAATCATGAAAAATCACCTAAATCTCTGCAGAACCATACAAAGAATGAGTCTGCTGAGCCTGCTGAGAAGAAAAGGTCCTCTCGTCCAGATCAAAATGGCTCGGTTGAATCTCTAGTCAGTAAAATGAATCTAAGCACTTCCTCGCCTGATCTGGAGCAAAAATCATCCGAAGCGCATTCTGCATCTGTTGAGAATGGAGGCTCACGGGAGGCCTCTGTTGATCAGAACAAGAAGAAATCAGAACATGGAAGTGTGAAAAATAGTTCTGTAACCGGCAAAGTTAGTGACGGGGCCAGCAGCCTCGCTAAGACAAGCGGAAGTGGCAAGGTTATTGACCGCGTGGACTTTGTTGAGAGTGGGAAGAGCAGCATGTGTAGAGGGAGCACGAGCAGTGACATCAGTGATGAAAGCAGCTGCAGCAGTTTGAGCAGCAGTGTCAACAAGCCTCATAAAGCAAATGACTTGAGATGGGAAGCCATCCAAGCTGTTCGATCGAGGGATGGAGTCTTGGGTTTGAGCCATTTCAGACTGCTAAAGCGGTTGGGTTGCGGGGATATAGGCAGCGTATATCTGTCGGAGTTGAGTGGAACGAAGTGTTACTTTGCAATGAAGGTGATGGACAAGGCATCTTTAGCTAGTCGTAAAAAGTTGCTCCGGGCTCAAACGGAGAGAGAAATATTGCAATGTCTGGACCATCCCTTCCTCCCAACTCTGTATACGCATTTTGAGACTGATAAGTTTTCATGTTTGGTCATGGAGTTTTGTCCTGGAGGAGACTTGCACACTCTTAGACAGAGGCAACCCGGGAAATATTTCCCTGAGCAGGCAGTAAAGTACGATAAGTGAACTTCATCCTTGATACTCTTTTATTAGAACTCGTACATGTTTGGATTGAGCTTTAACTAGTAAAATTCTCCTTTAGTGATTTCATTCGTGGTTTGGGGACTTGGTGGGGAAGGCTGAGGTAGCTAGGTTTTCAGTTAAGTTGGTCTGCAGTGTCTTTAAAGCCGATGACAATGCTAATTTGTCGACTTTGGAGAGAGAGAGAGATTTCTTATTGTTTCATACTTCATTTTAACCCAGGTTACACATGGAGCGGTACAACCTTTAATTAGAGAGACAGAGAGAGAGAGAGAGAGAGAGAGAGAGAGAGAGAGAGAGATTTCTTATTGTTTCATACTTCATTTTAACCCAGGTTACACATGGAGCGGTACAACCTTTAATTTGACTAGTATGACATAGGCAGTCTACATTTCGGAAAGACGTATAAAAGTAATGGTAGCTCAAATAACGATCTTCCTTGAACCTAAAGATTTCTTTCGCCTTGTGAAACTTTTCAATGTAGTAAGATGGAACTAAAAGTCACAATGTAGCTAGGAAAGATATATCTTCAACCATACGACTTGTGCAAGCAAGACCTCAAAAGGCTTCAAAAATAGTTTGGTTATATGGCACTTACATGTGAACAAATCTTGAAAGTTACTCTGATCTTTATTTGCAGATTTTATGTAGCTGAGGTGTTACTGGCTCTAGAATACCTCCATATGCTTGGGATTGTTTACCGTGATCTTAAACCTGAGAATGTTCTTGTGAGGGATGATGGGCATATAATGCTATCGGACTTTGACCTTTCTCTTCGCTGCACCGTGAGTCCAACTCTTGTTAAGACATCATGTCTCGATTCTGAGCCTCTCAGAAAGAACCCTGTCTATTGTGTCCAGCCAGCTTGCATTGAACCTTCTTGCATCCAGCCATCCTGTGCAGTTCCCACCACGTGCTTCGGGCCTCGCCTGTTCTCCAGTAAGTCCAAGAAGGACCGGAAACCCAAAATAGAAACTGGGAACCAAGTCAGTCCCTTGCCTGAGCTCATTGCGGAACCCACTGATGCCCGGTCAATGTCATTTGTTGGAACCCACGAGTACTTGGCACCAGAGATTATTAAAGGAGAAGGTCATGGAAGTGCTGTAGATTGGTGGACCTTCGGGATTTTTTTGTACGAGCTCTTATTTGGTAAAACCCCTTTCAAAGGTTCCGGAAACCGAGCCACGTTGTTCAATGTCGTGGGTCAGCCACTGCGATTTCCAGAGTCCCCTATGGTCAGTTTTGCAGCTAGGGATCTAATAAGAGGGTTGCTAGTGAAAGAACCACAGCACAGATTGGCGTATAAGCGAGGAGCAACAGAGATCAAGCAACATCCCTTCTTTGAAGGTGTAAACTGGGCGCTGATTCGCTGCGCCACACCCCCAGAGGTACCGAAACCAGTTGAGATAGAGCGAATACCAGTACCACCAACACCAGCAAGCGAAAAGGCCGCTGTTACCGCCACTATCCCTGATAAGAAAGGTTCTGATAATTACCTTGAGTTTGATTTCTTTTAGTGCACTTGATGTTTAGGCACAATTTATATTCATAATTCAGGATATAGTTGTTTATCATCCTCTGGGGGGGTTGTTTAGGAATGAGTTTGATGAGTTTCCTTTGCTTGCAAGTTGTAAGAAAGGATGGTAAGGAACTCCGTGTTTGTTTGTTGATGCACGTTAACGATATCAAATGTGGATTATATCATCAGTTCGTAAAGTTCACCTCTCTCTCTCTCTCTCTCTCTCTCTCTCTCTCTCTCTCTCTCTCTCTCCAAAAAAAGCTTGCTGATAGGCCCGGACTGTTCTATCGGCAGCTTTCGGTCGGTACATATGCTGTAGCAGAAGTCATTCAAACTGTTCATGGACTGCATCTTGAGGACACAATTTGGCGGGATGACTCACTTTTCTGTGAAATGTCTTGATTCAAGCAAGAGTTTCGGGGAAGCACAGGGCGACTCTTTAGGCTTAAGCATGCAAGTGAAAGAGGTGTTTAGCTTCAAGAACTTTGTGTGCTCCCGGCGAACCGTGCTGAGTTCCTAACCTCTGCAAGGAAGTGCTTGACAGATGTTATGGATCTCCATACAAAAGCAAGGATTGTGGGTATATGAGAGAAAACAATCTCAAATTGAGCACTTGATTCCTTTTGGGCCGGTCAAGCTGGTAAGCCGGGCGACCCTACTCGCCCTTCATGCATTGCTCGATCGACGCGAGCATGGACGGCTTCTTTCGATGGGGGCCAAGGAGGTGTATCGCTTTGGCGACCGAGATGCCGCATGAACCAATAAACAAGGATGCAAAATCTAACAACGCAAGAAAACTGTTTAACCTCAGCCAACACACTCATTCGACCATATACTAAACGAAGGGCAAAAATAAAGCCAAATATTGATTAAAAGGGAGAATGCGGTGAGCGTGGATCGAACACGCGACCTTCAGATCTTCAGTCTGACGCTCTCCCAACTGAGCTATCCCCGCTTCCTTCATGTCAATTCCAAGACAACCTTATTATATATTAATTTATTATTTGGATTTATGGACGCTTTGGGATGGGCTCACATGCATCACTATCGGGCAGGCATATTCGCAAGCATCCGATGGGTATTCCCACTTCCTGGTCCCTTTGACCACTCATATCATTTGGATATCGCTGATATTATTATATGGAGGAGCACACATCATGGTATGAATCATGAACCCTAAAAAGTTCAACCACGTAGAATTGGACTTTAAGCGTTAGCAATTAACTATAAATTTAAGTGTGACATAATGAATGGGGGTATCTCATTAACACAACACTTTCATTGTGCGCCCGTGGGACGACCGGTGACGATCGAATCGCTGTATCAGTGATTTCCGGCAAAAATCGTTTGCAATGACTATATTGAAATTTTCACGCTAAGGGTCATAACTGAATTGGAAAAATCAAAAATTTTAGGACTGAATTGACATATATACAATAAGTATTTGACTGACAAGGCAATTTTCCCTTCTGCTTTCAGAAATACAAGTTTGGATATCCTTACTTCTATAAAGTCACGCATCTATTTACAACATCGTGATTTTCTTTTCGAAAGTGCCCTTATCCATTTTATTTCATCATCAATATACAGCCCTAAACCCCAACCTCTAACACCCGAACTTTACATATATAGCACTTCGCCACCATCACGTGCCATTGCAGCGTTCGATCCCTCGCTCTCAACCGCCTGTGCCACCCCCGTAAGGGACGACTTCGATCATTTCATGACAAGCCTAGGATATCAATTGTAAAGGGTGGACATTTTATGCAAGGGTTTAGATGACCAAATGAACTTGCATCATCAAAACACTACGCTTCTTGATGTGCGTATTGTCCCCGTTAAATCTATGATGGAAACCCTTATAACATATGAATGGGCGTGAGAGAGCTCATATATGTGTGTATCTTTGAATATGTGCTTAATTAGATAGGATGGAATACATAGGCACTTGCGATTAATCTAAATTTGCAACATTGAAACTACATGTGCCTATCTTCGTTTTACGAATTTTGCCTATGTACCATGAAGCCGGATCGCTCCATTTTATGTGTCGGATACTTACCTACCTATGTGATTTACGACATCGTCGAATCTACGCATTTATACATTTAGTTATGTGCCTAATTTGATCCATGTGGTTCTTAAAGTTTATGAGTTTCAAATCTTAAAACATGCCAAAAGCATTAGTTTTTTCATTAATTAACCATAAAAATGTGTAAATACATATTAATCGAAATATGTTATATAAGCTAAAATTTCTATTACCTAGTACTAAAGAATTTAATTTTTTGTGCTCATTTCATATGGTATCACGTGTGTGGTTGCTCTTCTCTTGCGTTTATATTCGAATATGTCTATGAAACTGATGAGCATGAACAATGATGAACTCAAATCTAATTTCATTAAATGTCTATGAAATTGAAGGAACTCTTCAAAAACGTTAATAATTACTCCAATGTAACCTCTTCCTAATAACCCTATAAAAGAACACCTGCGTCTTCTCTCAACCATGTCCTCCAAATAACATCCTAAATACAACACAAAAGTTAAAAAAAATAACAGCAATAAGATCTCTCGACCGAACATGGCCAAGTCCACCATCGTCTCTGCCGTGCTTCTTCTTGCTTGCACCGTGGTGGTTTCGAAGCCGGCGCTCGCCGCCGTCGAGCCAGCACCGGCATACGACGTCTCCCTCGAGGCGTGCATCAAGAAAATGACCCAGAAGTGCGGGCTGGAGCTCTTCCACAACATCTTCCATGACGGCCCCGACGTGAGCGACTCTTGCTGCAGCACCCTGGCGGAGATGGGCGATCCCTGCCACTCCGAGTTCGTCGATGTGGTCCTCAGTAACGATAAGTTCTATGCTCGCACCGCCGAGTATCTGAAAAGAAGCTCAAACGCATGGAAGCGCTGCAAATCGATTGTCGGAGGGCACTGATGCACCAGCTTCTTCATAATATAGATTGTGTCACTTGTTATGTGAGGTTTTGGGTACATATGCTCAAAAGAAAAAGAGCATGATGTACTTTCAATGATCATTAATGGAATAAGGAGGGTCCTTGTTACTATATTAAGGTACTTCATTATGATCATTTTATCATGTCAATTCCTTCTTCATTTTAAAAACCTAATTTAAATTGAAATCTAGGTTCACGCTGTTTTCACTCCTCACATAACTCTAGACACGCCCTTAAACATAAAGGGTCCAAAGTAGCCACCATTGAGAGCTCAATAATGGTAAGATTGATGAGAGAAGAAGAAATATGTCTTCAATGTAAATCAAATTAATTTGATGATCTTGATTAACCTTTCTTAAACGGCTGTTTCTGCTTCTTTTGTGTTCCAATCGGAGACGTTTACAAGTTCTTTTGCTTTTTTTAGGAGAATCATTCAACATTCGAGTACCTTAACAATTTTAATTTTATTTTAACAGAATATTTATAAAGTACATTTATCTACGATGTCTCTTTAAAGTTCAATCTCTAATAACTCATTGTAATAATTCAATTATTTAGTTGAATTTTTTTAGGGGAATTCTTTGGGTAAAGTTGTGAATTCTTTATGATTATAGCTTATACTTAAGATATTTAATTAACCAAGATAAAATGGTTCTTTTTTTTCTTTTGAGAAATACTCGTCGTGCATTAGGAAGCAAAACACCCATTTGTCGACCCTTCTCCTTCCTTCAAACCAGAAAAAGGAATTACAAAAAAAAATGAATTAAGACATTATATCGGCTTATTTTATGCATGATACGATAAATATAACGCCGCTCAAAAGTAATACATTAGTAATCTATACATGTTTTCAGAGCTGGAGTCCATCTGTTTTGTTGTATATGATTCGTATGACCGTAAATAAATTTAGATATAGTATCATTAGCTAAAAGTTTGTTTAGAGTGATAGTTACCCTCTTTTTTCCTTTTTTTTTTTCTATAGTGCTTGTTATTTGATTTAATTCAAATACTTAATATTTGAAATATTCCCTACTCATGAATATTGACATGTAAAGTCATTTGAAAATTTTCACAATTTCGGAAAAAATTTTAAAAAAAATTTGTGCTTTACTTCAAAGTTTTGAAGGAAACACGAAAAGTACTTTAAAAAAGCAGCATAAATAAATCCTTAAAGGGTAAATGACACAAATGGTCCATGAACTTTATCTTTATGTGCAACGTGGCCCTCGAACTCTAAATTGATTGGAAAAATGACATAAATAGTCCATGTACTTTGACACAATCTACAATGTGGTCCTTATATTTTTAATTTATTCAATGTGGTCCCGAAACTCTTGATACAAGTTCAAATTAGTCTCGAGATTACATAAAAATGTTTAATGGTGTCTCCGAACTTGACGTCATGGAAGGACAACATTGAATATGTACCAAAAGTTCATAGACCATATTAAACAAATTAAAAATACAAAAATCACATTATATATTTGATCAAAGTTCAGTAATCATATTACACATCGAATCAAAATCCGGGGGCCACTTATATCGTAATCCCACCCTTAAAAGCATATATTAAGGACTTGACATATTATATTTAATAAGAATGACGAGGGGCAAGAATCTTTCTTAATCAAGAGGGTGAGAAAAGTACATCAAGCACCGCGTGGGGTCAACTGGATGAACGGTCCAGATCGGCCGGTGGAAAAAATACAAAAAGCGGTGATGAAGGAAAAGGAAGCATGTGGTGAGGAGCCACCCGCCACCACCATCATCAATAAAAGCAAAAGGCTCCCAAAGGTAGTACCTCAGCTTGAGGGATTCTTCAGCTTCCCCTTTTTTTGCTTTCTGAATTTTTTTTCTTATTTTTAATTATTTTCCTTCTATTATTTTGAAAATATTCAGCAAACCCAAATCAAAACAAAACCCATCTCTTAAAAATCATCACCCATCTCATGCAAATTTCGCATTTTCTTTGAACTGACTAATCGAGATTTCGCACACGACACATAAGCCAGAAAGGAGGCCCGTTTGGACGGGCTTATTTTAATTTACGGGCCACCCTAATAAGTCGCATTTAAGTTTTTCCCATCGGAAAAGAATATTTTGTTACTTCTTGAAAATATCGCGAAAAGGATTTGCTATTATTCTGAATGGTATCGTATATCTTTGTTAGGAAATTTGGATAATTAGTGTAAAGAGAAAGTCGCATATTCGGTGTAGAAAGTAGATAGAGAAATGGAAAGTAATTTAGACATATACGAATGTTGTCAAGAAACAAAGAAGACATTGGTTGGTTCCGATGTTTTCTTTTTCTTTACGAGATCTAAATCTCAAGTATAAAAGCTCTCCTACCAAATCATGGGTGCTTCCTCTGGCCCGCCTCTATTGACCCCCCTCTCTCTCAGTCTCTCTCTTTGTGCGAGTAGACTATTATCAGTAGGTGCAAAGGAGTCAAGAAAGTACTGTGAAGCTTGAATGGTAGCGGTACGTGAGCAAGATTGATTGAAGTAGTAGTGAAAAAAGATTAATTTCTCGGGGCCGTTTGCATTTCTTTATTGGGTCGCCGAAGAAACAAGAAGTTATGGCTACGGTGCCTCAAGAAGCGATCAATGAGCTCCAGGCTCTGATGGATCGAGGTCGGTTTCAGCTGCGAATTCTTGAATCTCTGGGTTGTTGCTGTTTTTTCTATCTTCATTCGCTGTGGTTTCGGATTCTTCAGTTCGCATTCTTGCTTTGGTTTGCTTGATCTCCCCTTATTTTCTTTACTTATTCTTTTTTTTGTTTCTTGGGCTTTTGCTGGCAGTTGACGAGCCGTTGATGAGAACATTCGAGGTTCGCATTATGCTTCCCTTTCTCGTTTCTGGGTATATTCTGATCTGTTCATACAGAGGGGAGTTCATTTGAGATTTTCTTGTGCTCTTCTTGAATTTTTCTCTAGTGTCGATTTCGGGTACTTAGTTTTAAATATTCTTGCTTTATTGAAGTTGGAAATGCTGAGTGCAGCTGATGTCCATCAGTTCAATTAGCTATCAGGGGAACAATCTCTTTCTGGGACTTGATTGTTCAACTCTTGCGATAGACGAGATTGTCTTGATCTAGGTGGTGGGATGCTTGTCGGACTGGACTGGATTTGAGTTTTTGGGTTCATTCGAATTAGTGTTGTCTGATTCTTGATTGTGAAAGATCTATTGTTTCGTTTGCATTTTTGTTTTATAAAGAGTTGATCTAGTTTCATGATTAGAGCTCGACAGTCAGAGCCTTGAATAAATTTACAGTTTTTGTTCATCTGGTAAGCTTGTTCTTGTGTTCAAGGGAAGTTTTCTGTTTTTGGCCTTCCCTTCCCTTAGTTTTTCTAGAGAATGAAAGGGATTTGCATGCTCAGGGAATCAGTCGTAGCATCAGTATTAGATGAACAAAACAGTAAGTTGTGGCATTTCATGGATTGGAGCATGATATTGGGTTGCCAGGGGAAGGTATGAATTTGTGGATTTGATGCTATCTAGTAGTTTCTAAATTGAATCATGAAGGTTAGCCAAACACGTCAAGGTTCAGATCAGATGGATATTCTTAGAATGGGTGCTTCGATCTGAATGCCACCCTTTTTTTTTTATCAGGCTATAGTAACGCCTAGTGTTGGTGGCCCCTCGCCACCCTTTCACAGATCAAGCCGCCTCTTACAATGACTTAGGTTGTAGCTCCCTATCAATGTCGCAAGGTGCATATGCTGCAAGAAAAAAAAATATAGGGGAAGATAAGCCCATGACTCTATTCCCTTGAACTATGCAGGCTGTCAGCATCTGATCCACGCACATATGTACGAGAAATTTCTCTATATTCCACCACTATTCAATATTTTTGTGCAACTCTAATAAGTACGTAGTTCTACCAAAGATGACTAAGTACATACTCTTCGATATAGGTTGCGCAACTTTCTGTCAAAAGGCAGAAAGAAAAGTCATTTGTTTTTTTGAGTTTTCTGTACTGCTGCTTGAAATCGGTGGGCACAGAATAGTTCTATAGGCAACTGAAGCTTATCAGTCTCCTCTTCCTCCTTTCTAGGATATCATCCACGTCTTTCACTAGAGTAGATTATCAGTTGCTGAAAAAAGATTTGTGATTTACAATGGAAGCATAGCTCTTTTATCATATTTACTTGTACCTTAGTTTATCACTCAATAATGATTCCGTTGCTTTGTTCTTCGTTTGTTTTTGTTTTAGGTGTTTGGATGTTTCTTCTTTCTCAGTTCCTGGTTTACGAGAACTGACTAGATTCTTTAATTCATCTTTTGATTTTATTAGAACGTTCATCAAGGTTATCTTAAAGAAACTCTGGTGCGTTTTCTAAAGGCGAGAGAAGGCAATGTTGCCAAAGCCCATAAAATGGTGAGAATTACTACTACCTAAAAGAGTGGTCCTTTTGTATGACAAGGAACTTTTACATTAGAACCCCTTTCATAAATGAATGGATCCATTTTCTCGCAGTTGTTGGATTGTTTGAAGTGGCGTGTTCAAAATGAGATCGATGAGATTTTGTCGGTGAGTTAACATTCTATTCAAGTTTTACATGTTCTCCAAGAGTAATTGCTTAGATGTTTGCATGCCAATTTTTGGAATTGTAAGGGAGAGATAAACTGATTTCTGTTTGCATTTGCCCCCCAACTGCTGTTGAAGTGAATGATATGTAAAACTGTAGATTATTTGCATGTAAGAAGTGGATGTGTTATTACGCGTATGTAATTTTACACGTATGCTTAAAGACTTTAAACTCTTAGCTAATGTCACTATGGAACCTTGAGGTTATTTGACTGCTACAGATTCTTTCTTTTGGTCAAATGGGCAGTTTTCTCTGGAAATATACAAATTTTCTTGCATAAGTTGTCTGCCACCTGGATCAGAACTGAACATGAGGAACATATGACTGCATTGTGCTTTAATTGACGGATTCTGACATCATGGTTTAATCACAGCTCGTGAACTTGATCCATATGTTTGATCTCATATTGAGATTGTCTAGGAATATTTTACTATCTGATACCTTCAATTAACACTATTTTGAATCTTTGGTGGCAGAAACCGATTATCCCTGCTGACTTGTACAGAGCTGTGCGAGATTCACAACTTATCGGATTGTCAGGTTACTCCAAGGAGGTATTTTCAACGCCAAATCTTCATCTCTATGTTCACATTATAGAATGACCCACATGATTCAATTCATCGTATAGTATGTGTCACACTCTCTGAGAAAAAAGTTTTGGGTGATTTTTCGTGAATTGGATGTATGCTTATACCAGTCATTGTACAGGGACTCCCAGTATTTGCTTTCGGGATTGGGCTTAGCACCTACGACAAAGCTTCGGTAAGTGCTTCTATCAGGTACTTTCTTTTAGTGCTTCCTTAATTAACCACCAAACTTTACGAACTTTCTGATAACCTGGTATTCTTGATTACTTTCAGGTTCATTATTACGTGCAATCACATATTCAGATCAATGAATACAGAGACCGTGTAATTTTGGTGAGTCTTATGTCAGCTCTGGAATATCATGACCTGATTTAGACGTTATTTTGACATGCGATCATCGGTGTAGCCTTCGGCATCCAAGAGGTACGGGCGACCTATTACCACCTGTTTCAAGATTCTAGATATGACCGGCCTGAGGATTTCAGCCCTTAGTCAAATAAAGGTAAGTCGCTGTTTTGAAGTGCAGATGATTCACATTCAACTCTTTTTGCGCCATTTTCTGAGATTTTAACTGTCACTTTTGTACTTGGGATGTATCTTGAGAACATCCTACCTTGGGAAACACGTTTCTCTAATCGAAATAGTTGGTATTAGCCATTTTAATCGCACTTCGTATTATCTGGACTTGTAACCAACTAATAATAGTACAATATATAATCATTATTATAGTTTGACAACAAACACTTAATCTAATACGCATGCATTTTCTAGTTACATCGGCTTTCCAGCAAAAAAAAGAAAAAAGAATAACCAAAGGAGCTACTTCAGCTACCAAGATATCCCCTTTATTCTAATCACGCCTCATTCACTGAAGGGGCTTCTATTTTATGAAGCGTGGTGGGGCAAAGATACTTCTGTGAGTGACACAAACATGTTCTTACAAGTAGGATGTCTCAATATGTAAATATGCGTGGATACACACTTATGTCTTGCACTGATGCTTGTGGACTCAAAGATGATATATTACTTTTGTTTATTGGTCTGTTTGTTCAGCAGTTTCATAAGAAGACCTTTTTTTCTAATTTAGTGGGTTTCTTTCAAATAAGTTAAGAGTGAATATACTTTAGATGGCCTGTGTTTTTCCAAGTAATTGCTAAGATTCTAGCCATGGAAATCGCAAATAATCAGTGCTATCACAAAACAGAATAGGGCAAAGTAATTTTTTTTATGACGAGGATGTTTGTTCATACATGCATTTTAATTCATAGCCTTAATCTATGTCATTGCTGACTATAATTTTTATGTTTGTCTAGTTGTTGACAATTATAACGACTGTTGATGACTTGAACTACCCTGAGAAGACGAATACCTATTACGTTGTGAACGCTCCATACATCTTTTCTGCTTGTTGGAAGGTATTGACCAGTTGCATAAATATTGTCTTTCTTTTGGAGGTTGTTTATGTTCTTTTGTCATTGCACCCGGGTAAAGCTTCAACTTTGAACAGGTTGTGAAGCCACTTCTGCAAGAGAGGACAAGAAAGAAACTTCAGGTGTTGCCTGGTTGCGGACGTGACGATCTACTAAAGGTTGGATATTTAGCTTCTCGCACGATAATTAGACTAGAGTGAATGGCATTAAGCTCATTAACCTCTCTATCTCTCTCTAATTCCTAATTTTCATCTAACGTGGACTCATCCGACTCATTTAGGTGTCTCCGATTCCATCGCATTCATAGTGATTATTATGACTTCCTATTGAATTCTTTCTAATTCTGTGTATTGCTTCTTGTACTCCCCTTGTAGATAATGGATTACAGTTCCCTCCCACATTTTTGCAAGGGGGAAGGATCGGGTTCTGGTCGGCATTCATCACACGGACTGGAAAATTGCTACTCCTTGGACCATCCCTTTCACCAACAGCTTTACAGCTACATCAATGAGCAAGCTCTGATTCGTAAACCCGCCCAACCCATCAAACAGGGCTCTATCCATGTCGCTCTGCCCGAGCCTGCTGCAGAAGGGACAGATATCGCCAAAACCATAGAATCGGAACTACAAAAGTTTGAAAACGGAAGTGGGATGCCTGACTCGCTGGATGGCCTTAAAATCAATGGCGATTGAAGCTGCTGGGATCGAAATGCTTCGGACAACTATGTGCAGCGATGAATCTAACAAGAGCTGATCATTTCCTTGATTCAATTACGTGAACGGTGATGTGTGGGCCATTTCCAGTTGCGCGACATGATGGCACAATACATAGGGCTCACCCTAATATCTATGTTATCTTCTCGAGGTAACCTAATCCAGCCGGATGTACCTTAGTGTACTGAATAGCCAAAAGCCATGTTCCCATCCGATGTATGACCTTCGGGCATGTTGTAATATTCATTTCTACATGCAAGTTAGTATCATTTCTACAATGGGAACTCTTGGAGGCTCTCGGATTTTGACGGAAATGTTCTTCATCGTCTTTATCCGATATGATTTTGTCGGATGTTGCAAATGTTTTACTAGGTAGTCTAGCTAGTCAATATCGTCAAATTCGTTATCCATTTCAATCAGTGAAAATATTCTGTTTAAGTACTAAGCACTTAAGTATGTGCATCATGTTCCATTGAGAGTTATAACCAATCCGTCTATGAGGGCGAACGACATAAAACAATTGACATGAGGATGCAAGAATGAATATTTCAGACATTTTTCAAGATCTTATGATTGTACATTCCCTTGCCAACAAAGACTAAGATACACCAATGAATATTTCAGACATTCCTCATGATCTAATGATTGCACATTCCATTGCCAGCGAAGATAAAGATACACCAATGAGTACATTCTTGTTTTATTCGGTTATTTTATGTAAAGAATAGCCACTATAAGGAAGAACGGCGGATCTGCAGAGATGACCTGCAAGACAAAAAGCTCCTAGTAAGTTCAGATTCCATGGTTGCAGCACAGCAGCAGGTCACAAATGATGTGCTTCTGGGGTCTAAGCTCAAAGTGAATTGCTCTCTCAAAGAACATGTGGGTGTCTAAACTCGAAATTAAATGCTCTCTTAAAGGATGCATTGATGCTGTACAAAATATTTCCTTGCTTATTGACCAATGTTCAAATGACTTGGCGATTCCATGTGACACTTTACATTCTTTAGAGAAACCGTTTATCTTTCATTTCTCTGATGCCAATGCCCTAAGGTGTTCCCACAGATTAACTGCATGACGTTTTCTTGGGACGAAACTGTTTTCCAGTCCACCAAATAGGTCGAATGTTCTAGCATCTTGCACAAAGTGGACACATTTATGTGACGATTAGAGGTAACAGAAAAAGAAGCAGAAGTGCAAGGCATGTGTGTGTCCTAGCATCTCCGGACCCATAGTGCAAAATGCTATTAATTATTGAAGCAGCTGAGGGAAATTCTCGATTTTGTGTTAGGATTGAGCAATTCACAATATATTACGAGGTTGTAACAGGACAACCAGTTTCTCCAAATTAACTGAAATAAGGATATTCCAGTAAAGGCTTACATGAGCTCAACAACAAGGGCAGATGCCCCACCTCCCCCATTGCAGATCCCACCTACACCATACTTCCCGTTCTTCTGTCTCAGCACCTAAATCACCACCATGTAATTACCGAGATGGTCAAAGTGCATAATTACTTAAGCACCACAGAGAAAGAGGAGATGATCAACCAGCTTCAAGCTTACTAGTGAAGAGACATTGCCAAGAAGAATAGCAAGATATGCAAATAAAATTTACCCCTAACAATGTGATCAGTATGCGAGCTCCACTGCATCCTATTGGATGTCCTAGTGATACAGCTCCACCGTGCACATTGACTCGTTCCTGAAACCAACAGACGTAAACAAAGGTCCTAATAAGGTAACGTAGTTGGAAACATCAAAAGTACGAAAACAAATGAATAAGTTCAAAGGCGAGAGAACTTAAAGGACTTGATCTAAGAGTGCACTAAACTGAATGGTACAAGTAAGTTTATGGTACGAGTAAGTTTTTGCAACACTCACGGGTTTAAGAGCAAGTAGCTTTTGATTGGCAAGAACCACGACCTGCAGGGACAGGTACCAAACTATGGTCAGAAGATCCACCAGAAGAATGTATAGCTTGGTGTCAAATATCTAAGCATAACTACGTACAGAAAATGCTTCATTAATTTCATAGTAGTCAATTTGACTAGCATCAAGACCAGCATTCGAAATGGCTTTTGGTATTGCGAGGGCTGGAGCGGTCGTGAATAGTTCGGGTGCCTACAAGAGAATAAACTTCAGTAACTGTCCATCAAAGTTTTAGAGATAGAAAAGTAAAAAAAAAAAAAAAAAGTTATTTTCATGGCACCTGAGCAGCATCCGCGTATCCTTTGATCTTTGCAATTACTCGCAACCCAAGTTCAAGTACTTTCTTCCCACTAACTAGAACTAGTGCAGCTGCACCATCACTGCACAGAATGATAAAGAGAGTTAAAAGATTAGGCACAGGAACCACCAAAACAGCCAAGATAGTTTGATGTCCAGAAATGCATGCTCTAGCACATGCTTATACCTTATGCTAGATGCATTCCCGGCAGTAACAGAACCGCCACTCTCCTTGAAGCTAGGTCTCAGTTTCTTGAGTTTTGCAGAGTCAAACTATGGGAGGAAAAGAGAGATGGCAGGATAAGAAGGCATCTAAAAAGTGCAAGAAACTAATGTAGTGGCCTCACCAGAAATGAAGAAAAGCTAAACAAACCCTAATGATATTATTTATTGACACCGTATTACGATCTATCCTCTGTTGTTGATTATCCCTCCTTAACCAAAGGGATCCAACATAATTGAATAACTGCAAAAGAATTTGAAATTATGTCTGTTTTTAACACCTCCAAACCAGAGTAATTACCTTTCCTAAACCTTCATCTTTATCTACAATTGTTGACGGCTTTCCTCTTCCTCCCGAAACTTCAACCTGCAAGTGCAATACTGAAATAAGAATTACATCACTTAATCCAGGAACTTCCGTTCTGTGAAATAGAGATCACACCGAAACTATCTCCCAGGCAAAGAGACCACTATTTCGAGCAGCAATTCCTCTTTCAAAGCTCTGGATAGCATAAGAATCCTGTGATCAACCATGAAAATAGATGTAAAATCCTTTCAAGTCAATGGAGAAACCTGTAGCACATCCAATAAGGAACATGAGTAAATCCATGTAAATCCCTGTTCCCAGTTAAACCGAATCAGCTGAAGCAGCACACAAGCAACAAAAATTTCAGTTAAGCCACATGAAGAGAATCATAGCCTCAAACATGCACATCATAGGGAATTAAGAAATGACAGCACCCTGTAAAAACAAATCAGCTAAAGCAACACACAAGCAACAAAAAGTTCATGCATTAAATGTTAAGCCACATGAAGAGAGTCATAGCCTCCAACATGCACGTCAGAAATGACAGCATCATGAATTACACCAAGATGTGAAGAGAAGTATCTCCAAATATGGTCTGTTAAATTTAGAACAAGTTCATTGTTGTGAAGAGAAGTAAGATAATTTAAAATGAGTGAGATCGTGAATGAATACCTGTTGTTCTCTTGTTATGTTATGATTCTCCGCACAAATTTCTGCGCAAACACCCATTCCAAAGTCATTGTAAACATCCCAAAGGCCATCTTTGAGCATCCCATCGACAATACTATCATGTCCAAGTCGAGATCCCCTCCTGTTCACCCAGTAACATACAAGTGCATCAAAATGCTTGCCTGGAAACTTTAACAAGAAAATTTTCCACAGGGTCCAGCCAAATATAATGAATAGGAAAGTCAAAACAATATGGAACAATACCATCCAGAGGTAGGCTCTAGAATTCTTCATGTAGCCTTATAGCTAGTAGAAAATATGCTTTGGATTTACTAGGGAAGAACAAATAAAATAAGCCTTAAGGTACACGAAAAATTCATGTATCTACAATTTGTAAGAGATGTGTTCCAGAACTCTCTGAAACACAAACCAGCGAAGTACACATACCAACCTTGCTTCAGCTAGATATTTGAGTGCTTACACATACCAACCTTGCTTCAGCTAGATATTTGGGTGCATTAGACATGCTTTCCATACCACCAGCCACAACAAAATCATTAATGCCCAACTGAATGGTCTGCGCAGCGAGCATTGTAGCTGATAAAGCAAGGGGATTTAACATGTCAACACTCTTAAGAATGGGAACCACTAAAAAAAGTGAAAAGAATGCGTATTTAGCCTCGTCACAAAAGGTCACCTTTCATTCCTGATGCGCAAACTTTGTTCACAGTGGTGCAAATTACCGAATTAGGTATGCCAGCGCCTAGAGCAGCCTGCCTAGCCGGGGCTTGCCCTAAATTTGCACTTAGGACATTCCCGAAGAACACCTCTTGCACCAGTGCAGGATCTACATTAGCTCTCTTAAGAGCACCTTAAAACGAACATGAGCAACACAATCAGATTGACCTTTCAGAGCTCACACTATGATTGTGCGAAATCAAAGAGAAGGGCATTGGGTATTACATTGAATAGCTATGGAGCCAAGCTGGGTAGCTGAGAAAGAAGAAAGGGAACCCAGCAAGCCACCCATAGGCGTACGAGCAATACCAACAATACAAACATCTGTTGAAGGCAAAACATCAAACATTCAAACTTGGAAGAAAATCAATTGAATTATAGGGAAAGGGACACTATTGGTGCCATAACTTTTGTACATGTCTCATATCTTTCCAATTGATCACTAGTGTCATTACCTCTAAAAGACGTTCATTTCAGTGATGTTTTTTTTTTGGTAAATTCATTTCAGTGATGTTGGCGATTTCTTTTGCCAAAAAATCCGACATGAGATTTATTTAACATAAAATCAGTCAGCGTGACTCACAAGGGAATTGATGTCATCAAAAGCATGTAAAAGATGTCGTTTTACCCTTTCCTTGCCCCAATATCCTCCACAATATGCAGGCTCGAGCGCCTCTCGAGCCTCACCATCGCCGATTGGAAGGGACCAAATCAAATCATTCCATCGTTTTTTTTTTGGTAAGGACAAATCATTCCATCGTTTATCTACTTTGGATCCAAAAAAAGCCAAGTTGGATATGTTTTCAGTAAAATTTATCCAAATAGTATTCGTCGTATCACTCAAGTGAATTTTTTTTTGAAAGTTATGACAAAGTTATGGATCAAAATGAGGGCCATACGAAAGTTACGGCATTGTTGACCTCATCTTCCCATGAATTATAACAAAGGCAAGTATTTACCCTTTCCATGGAACTAGGACTACTCAAGATGTTATATCCAGAAGAAGAGCTATGCCAGCCACCCAAATTCAATCACCAAATCAAAACTTAAAGGAAAGTGCGTATTTTTTTCTGTACTGATCGTCAGCCGAGAGAAAATCTATTACAGTGTCTCTGCCTCTTGTTTCTTTCCTTTGTTTTTCTGCTCTGTTCATTCGCTCGTGAGTTCCACGAAACGGAGCCAGACAAGCAAAATTAACCGAGACATGCGATCATTCAATCATGGGTATGTAAATACTAAGCAAGAAAAACGAAAGAACCTTGGGGTTGTATAGACTCCGAAACAGAGGCCATCGCTGTGTCCAGCCACGTTCTCCTCAACAGAAACTGCGACATGCCCAGAGACGATGAGGGGAAAAAGAAGGGTAAAAAAAACGAGAATTGTACCAAAAACTATGAACGCCGGGAGCAAAATTACGAAGTGCGAAGAAGCGGGGCACGAACTCAGGAGCTGCAGCAGCAGCACGTCTGTTGATCAAACCTTGAAGACAGAACAGAAGCCGTGCTGTGTTTATAAGGTGGGTTCGTTCGTGCTCATGCCCGCATCACCTTGGGATGTGTAGTGGTTTTTTTAACTGAATTCTTTATGCGAAAAGAATCCTAATCGTATCTTTTTTCCTTCGGACTGATGATAGATTTTTTGTCAGACTGTCAGTCTCAGTGATTACATTATCTCGCTCTCTCAGGTTCAGCTTAAGCCCTTAATGAATTCTAGCTAAAGAAATCGTGAATGATATCATATATTTAGGGAGTCATAAGCTGAGAATAAATTTATGAATGATAATTAATAAGTTTAAGATATGGTTGGTAAACTATATTGAATGAACGATGAGATTCATATTGAACAATTAATAATTTTAAATTATATTTAAAAATTATCAATTAGTATACAATTAATGTTTATCCAGGAACAGGTCATGTCCAGATCTTGAAGCATGTTTGGATATCTTTGACATTGGATAGAATGATGATTTCAGCACAAACAAAGCAGCACAGTGCTGGTACTACTGCTGAGAACCCAAAAGGAAAAGGATAATAATATTAGCTGCTTGACGATTACTCAGAAATATAAGGACTTAAACTGAGGATTAGTATAATCCAATCTCTCGTCTGACAATGAATAAGAGCGCACAAAAGACAGCAAACTACAAGTAGCATCTCCACAACACAGACGCAGCAGATGGGTATGAGAAAAACAATGCTGATCTCCTTCTGTTTCTTTGTTTGTGCAATTCCATCAACTATGAGACGATGCGCCTGAAGGTCAGATTGATCCGGACCCCCTCCACTTTGGCACGCTTTGGTACCGAGTGGATCCAATCCCGTTGAGTGTAGCCTCTCATCACTAGCAAGGAGCCATGCTTCAGGACAAATGTATGTTGATCAGCACCACTGCTGATTCTCAATCGTTTTCTCACCGGTTCACCACCCGGTCTTCTTTCTAACAACCACACCAAGATAAAAAAAAAAAAAGGCATCAGTACATTGAATAATATAGACTTCTAATCATAGTCAAAGTGTCAAGATAGGTTCTGTATCATAGGAATCAACAGGGTTTAGGTATAGTTTCTCGCGGTTCCTTTCGGCAAATTAAAGGATCAACAACTTCACCTCGGGAGGTTTTACTGGGTTTCTTCTTGAGGAAAAACTCACGCTCACATCCAAAGGAAACAGAGGCGATTTCTGGAGTAGATCCATATAGTTTCTCGTCGTCAGAATGCCAACCGACGTAGTCATTGCCACCTTTATATCTATTTAGAAGAAGGGAATTGAATTTACTCCCAGGAAGTGCCTTGTGAACCTTCAGAAAAGAGTATAGATAGATGTTAACACAGAGAGAATCACAAAAATACTATTTTTTGAGGAAATTGTGATATAACTCAATCCCACAACACCCTTACTGCCTCCAAGATTTCCTTGAGCGGAGGATAATCGTCCCACAAGTAGGCATGTGGTTGATATCCACTGTACACCAAGTCTGTCAGACCGACATTCGCGACATAACAAGTATCTCTGGGCTGCATTAGAAAATTCATACTTTAGCATAGATAGGCAAATGTCTCCAAGTACCAAAAACATTTCATTGCTTGAGCACTGCAGTACCACACAAGCTAGAAGGACCTGCCAAGTCCTACAAACTCTTGCAAAAATCTCTAATGAGTTTTCACCATCTGCTTAACTACATCAAATTAATGGTTCTAACTATGCATTCTGTTTGACAAGCAAACAAACGGGAATTACAGACAGACTAACTGACACCAGTAAAGTTACCTGATAGTATAACAGTGCCAATTACAAAGCCATGTCAAATACTTCCGCACCCAACTCTTCTAACATCAGTAATCAGGACCCAAACAGAGTCTTCAGTTTTACCAATTATAGCACCGCCACAGAAAGTCACCGGTAATTAACATAATCAGCTAACTGCATAAGAAGAATACAAATTGCGACCACTCCTATGGGAAAATGGAATTTATTTTTCTCTTTTGGGCAATGCGAGAAAATTGCCTTTGAATCTATAGGATAAGGGCAAACTAAATTTAGCTCTTTAGTTGAGGCACTCACATGTAGATCTTCACTCATGATTCTCACCTCAAACTTTTAAAAATTGCGCATTTAGAGAACTTCATTCACGCCCATCGGAGTCAATTGCAATGAATTTGCGAAGCACTTTCTTTCGGCTTAACATCACTGGCATTTACTAAAGACTCAAGGCATATATCAACGAAACAATGAGCAGCTCCTGCAAACTAATGATATGAACCCTAGCAGCTTCTTCTGATATTGAACAAGAAACCCAGAACCACAATATCGTTTCATCCACAAAAGACTGCAACTTTAGTCAATTCACCCAATCAAAGGCTAAGCTCAACTTCTTTCTCAGATACCTGTAGTTCCCTGACATGATCACATTCTCAGACGGCATCCTAACTGCCGAACCATCGAACAAGAACAACAACATGCGGAAATGCAAACGCGTCGTGAATAATATGTTAAAAAGGACCTGCAAACAAGAGCGACCAAAGACCCGGATGGAGGGTCTCGTCCAAGGAATGTGCTTGTCGAGGTAGTCGCAAAACCGCCAGGACTCGTCGCGCGAGAGGAAGCGAGGCGTGTACACGACTTCGCTCCCGTTTCCAAGATCGACCCTCGTCGATTTCTTCGCGAGTTCATCGCCAGAGCGAGATGAGTGCGTGGGTTCTTCTCCTTCTTCTTCTTCTTCTTCTTCTGCCGAGATGGGTTTCGATTTCAGTCGAAGGGTCATCGCCATTTTTCGAAAGGATCGAAGAAGAAGAGCCAAGCAGCCATTTCCAGCGCCAAAGGAGGTCGCTTTTTATGGGCCATTTTACTTTCCACTTTCTTGAGCATTTTATCTTCTTTTCCTTTTTTTTTCTAATTATCCTTTACAACCCGAAAGATGGAATGATAACACAAATAATTACTGAATTTTAATTTAATATGTAATGTTATCCCTGAGCTTTTAATTTGATCAATGTGGTCTCTGAATTTTAATCTAATGTGTAATGCGGTCCTTGAACTTTTAACTTTGTTTAATGTGGTCCCTAGACTTTTTGTGCATGCTCAAGTTAGTTGCTGAACTATATAAAAATATTCAATGTTATCCTTCCATTAATTCAAATTTAGGAATAACATTAAATATTTTCATGTATTTAAATATCACATTGAACAAATTAAAAATTCATGGATAATATTGCACATTGATTCAAAATTCAGAGACTATTTGTGTCATTCCTCCCTCTCCAAAAGAACCAAAAAAAAGAAATACTCCTGCTATCTTAGAAAATCTTACAGGTCATCCTATTAAAGTATGCAAGCATAAATTTTTCTTTCTTGCTCTTAAACTAAGGGAAAATTTCAAATCAATACCCAAAGTGGGGTCATTTTCTCAAAAAAGGATCCAAAGTGGATATAGTGTTAAATAAGGGTCTGAAGTGCCCAATCAATCTCAAATAGAGGTCCGAAGCGCCCAATTAGTCTCAAGTAAAAGCCTGGGTTCACCGGCCGGTCAAATGCTTACCGGCCAGCGAGCACTTCACTGTTCTGATCACCGGAATAAGGACAATTTTGTCTTTTACTTTTTAAATTTTTTTTGTTTCTTTTTTCCTTTTACTGTTTTTTTCTTTCCCTTTTCTTTTTTTTTTCTCTTTTCCCTCTGTCGGCCATAGCCGGGGCTGGCAGAGGCCACCCTCGTCGGAGTCGAGCGAGGGCCGCCCTCGCCTGGGCGACCCTCGCCAGATCCGGTGAGAGCAAGAGGGTTGCTCTCGCCCGACGCTGGCGAGGGCAGCCCCACTTGAGGCCGGCAACCTCCGCCGGCCTCGGCTATGGCCGGCGGAGGGAAAATAGTAAAAAAAAAAGAAAAGGGAAAGAAAAAAACAGTAAAAGGAAAAAAGCAACAAAAAAAATTAAAAAAGTAAAAGACGAAATTGCCCTTATTCCGGCGATCAGAACAGTGACGTGCTTGCCGGCCGGTGAGCAATTGACCGGCCGATGAACCCATGCTCTTATTTGATACTATGTCCACTTTGGATTCTTTTTTGAGAAAATGATCATATTTTGGATATTGATTTGCAATTTTCCCTTAAACTAATTATGTTGTGTGGGAACCATCCACGAAGTGACATCACTTTGTACGCTTGGTAATGGTTGTGAATGTGCTATGACCGCGAGGCGTTTTGCCAAGCATCTTATAATCTCTCAACTTGGGTTTCTCTTCTGACCCCGGATTACGAAATTTTTAGTACCTTCGACGAATTGTTCATTCCGATCGAATTCAGCACGACACAAGATCACAGTTTGTCAATCCGATGATGAGACCGAATGCAGTAATATCCTCTTCAAGATTTTCCTCGAGTGAACATGGGTGATTGTGTATAGATCTCATGGGCAGGAACAAGTCAACAAAATGGTACTGTGGAAAGACAAGATAGGCACACACTGGGAACTACAAAGGCCCTTGCTACTTTTTCATAACAACCTCCTGGCAAATGATAAAAAGGGTAAGAAGAGATCACATTACATTGAAAAATCTTTCTACTTCATCACTACTCCATACACACTATTTTTCATACGCACCAACAATGTAGTTAGTCTTCAGTTGGTGGTTGCCTTGCGAAACTAAACTATGCGAAAAACCTAAACTTGATTAGGCTATGAACGCTGTTAGCTACAATGCTTCAGCTAACCTCGAGTTTTGTTCACTATTTAGTGCCTGCGAAAGAATTATCTATGAACTTGATCTTCAACTGAATCTCCCCGGACTCGACATCGCTGAGCCTCAACCACACATCCTGCACGACCTCGCCATCTATGCAGGCGATGGAGCTTTCCCTGACTAGGCAGTTTTCGCCATCCGGGACGACCTTTCTCAGCGTAGTCTCACCTGAGGAAACCTTTAGGATCTGTCTCAGTCTAGCAGCAGAGACTATGGGTTGAAGACCTATGTGGGCATGTCCCATTTTATCATCCGCTTTGAAACGGTCTCTGTCAAAGACTTCCTGGAGCAAGTGATTGAATTATATCTCATTATATGCCAGCAATTGCACAATAAATCGATGGCCTTAAGTTACTTCGTTGATGACATGTGAAGTTCTTAAGTATAACGGGCATGCGCCCATCGTGTTTTCAAATTCTAAAAAGTTTCCAGAACAAGAACAAAATGTAAGGTAGAAAAAGGAAGAGGACAGTGAGATTAACGACTTATTTGAGATAAAAGAAACATTTTCTCCGAGACTTAAACCAGTAAATGCACACTTCGGTTAGGTCTCCCAAGATGTTATACTCTCACAAGTTTATAAAGCAATCGACCATGTTTAATGACTTTGATGCGAGAGGATTGAAGAGCAATTTAATCGAGAGCATGAGAACCCAAACCAGAAGATATGGAACAGAGAAAAAGCCAAAAAAAGAGTTGATTTTGGCTTTAAAAGTATAACTTATCAGAATTCTCACATTATTAAACAGATTCAACCATTCCGTTCTTCGACTAATAAGCATAGCTGGAACTTTGGAACGGATTGATGAAATGCAGATTATACATTTTATGCTCCAAAACCTCGATCTTAACTGTAGTATATATAATGACAAATGCACTTGCATGCGTGCGCAGAGAGAGAGAGAGAGAGTTACCAAGTTTAGCATTCCCACAGGTTCTGCAAGGGAAAAACTTAGCTCCTCATTCCAAACAGGATTCAGGCAGCTGTTTATAACTCTGGTCTTTGCAGTCTGCTAAATGATGACAGTCGTAAGCACCAAATTTTCACTGAAGTGAATATTGGAATGCAAACTATGGAAGTGAATCGAAAGTCTCAAGGAAGAGGCATTCACACTAACAAAGTATCAACAACAGAAGCGCTTCAATATGTCTTACACTGTGCGACAGCCGAAAACACTGGCATCAATTCATTAGTGCTCATACAATTAGTACCTCAGCACACATTAAAAACTGGCCCACAGCACCAGATCATCGAAAACCAATTGAATATCAACTTGACAGGCACAGACACTAGGTACACAAAGGGTCTAACAAGAGACCGAGCATTCACCTGGTTGCCCAACTTGACAACAACATAAGGATCGCTGCTCTTGAAGTCCCTGATCACTAGCCCTTTTCCTCTCACGACAGTCACTTTTAACAGTCCCAATGGCTCTCCCATCTTTGACTTCACAGAGAGAATTTCTGCAGAGGCAAAACTTAAAAGGGTTGCAAGAGAAAAAAAAATGGAAGGGAAAATTTCTCTTACATAATAATGATTAAATCATATCGCCACAAACGAATTTGCAGAAAAATGAAACAAGAAATTTACCAAATCAAACTCCACCTCCAAAGTTCCTAAAAGAAAGCAAGCATTTTAACAGATGAACAATTGTTCAGAGAAATCTACATAGAATTCCAGAACCAAAAATGTGTATGCAAAGCAGCAGGAGCTATAATTGAGATGCATTGCATTTGAGTGCACTCTTTTAGAAAACCAGAAGCAAAGAACAAGCACAATCATGCCGAAAGTGTCGTTAAACTGATCGATACAGTCATCATCCACCACCGCATGCCAGAAAACTTTATTTTTTTCCCATAGAAAAGAAAAAACTTTTATGACTTGCGAGGCTGAGTATAGAATAACATTCAGGGCAAAGTGCACTTTCTTTATCTTCATATTTAAATGTGTGTGACGACAACCACAGCATCAATTTTCCCTGAGGGGGTCATGCTGTCCAGGCCCCAAAACAAAACAAGAATCTTGAAAGAGTAAAAAAGGATAGGGAGCTTCGAAGGAAGCATCCAATGCTGCTTCAGCTCCAGACAAGACCAGATTTTTACAGGACAAGAGCCAATTCTGCCACCAAGAACAAATGGGTTCAACCCAAAAACTTCAAACAGCGGATAAAACCACTCATCAGCAAAAGAAGAACTTTCGGAGACCCAGCAAACAAGCAATATAACTCTAAAAAGCTTACCCAGATGACGATCTTGCAACTAAGAAGATTCAGTTCTTGGTTTCAGGGGCTTGAGAGAGACACAGAGAGAGAGAGAGAGAGCAGCATCTGAGGTTGTCCCCAGTTTAATGTAGGAGAGGAGAGAGTTTGGGGGAGACCAGGTCTCGCGTCACTCGTTTCGTGATTGCATTGAAAGGTTAAAGGTGGGACCTGAGGTGAAACTGGGTCGCCCACAGCGATGATTGGCGTTTGGACCAGATCGGTAATATCTCAGGATCTATCTCACGACACAGTCAAAGTTGACATCACCTCATTCCTACCCTTTATATATATTCTTTTCCAGTACGCCCAACCTTTCTTCTAGAACGGTAGATAGATCACAAGGTACTAAAATCGATACTGCAAATTCAATTTGCAAAATAACCATAGTGTTTTATCATTGAACCAAATGAATTTGAAGTGCTATAAAATCAAACATAGTTAAGAAGCCAAAATAATAATAATAATAAGAATCATCCTAAACACGGTTTCGACGTTCTAGCGCACACATTACCGATCTACCTATGGTGATCTAAAGTTTTTTTTTCGTACGCTTTGATATACCATGTACAAACGAGAAAAAAACAAATCTGAAGCTGTATTTCCTAGACCTAAATTACATGGATAAATTAATTATTCTCCATAAGGAGTACGTTATACGCATTTTTATTTGCATAATAAAACTAGATTTAAGATAAATATAGTCATATTTTATAGGCTTAAAATAATATGTTTTATAAACATTTTTATCATAAGCTTTTTCATAATTCATCCACCTTATGACACAAATAGTCCATGTGTAATGTTGTCCCTAAACTTTTAATTTATTAAATGCGATCCTAAATCTTAACCCTATGTGCAATGTTATCCCTGAACTTTTGTTATATGTTTAATATGGTCTCTAGACTTTTGATGCATGTTCATTTTAGTCTGTGAGTTAGATGAAAATGTTCAATATTGTCGTTCTATAATTTCAAGTTCAAGGACAACATTGAACAATTATATGTAGTTCGGAATCAGATGGAACATGTGCCAGAAGTTCATGGACCATATTGAATATATTAAAAGTTCAAGGACGACATTGTATATTAGGCTAAAATTCATGAACTATTTATGTCGTTTTTCCTGTTTTATAATTGAAAACTTAGGAAAAAGAAGAATTTAATTATCGTGTTAATTAGAACTTTGAACAAGTCCGAGGAAAAGCGAGTAAGCCCCAATCTCAAAGTGACCATTGGACGTCGCACCACCGACTTGTCGTCAACGTCATCATTGTTACCAGGTTTGGGAAAACAGTATTTTGCCGCGTATTCAGCATTCTTTAGAAGACATCTCCCTTTCCCTTCTTATTTCTTTTCCTTTTTCCCCCACTCCACAAATTAAAAATTATATTATAAAGACCACCTTACGATTATCTCATTAGCAGTCATAATCATTTCATAAACTCAAAAACATATGCATTCACTCATAGTGTTTTTTCGTCGAAACAAATAAAAGGGGATAATTTTCTAAAAAGTCATAAACATATCGTATGGCGGTTATTTCAATTCTAAACTTTTCAATTTTGCCAAGTTAGTTTTAAACATTTTGACGATTTGCTAATGTGGTCCTTTTGATTAATTTTGGCCGGAAATTGTTGACGTGGCGGCTGCACATTTGCATATTATCATAAGGTTTAGATTGGCATGATTGAAAAGTTTTAGAATGGAGTTAGACGTCGTATAATAGGTTCAAGACTTTCAAGAAAATTTTCCTGAATCTAAATAATTATTGTTGTGAATTTTGGACAAAGCATCAATGTCACATGTTACCAACTTTGTTCAAGCTGACCCGAAAGTTAGATCAAATTTCTATGTTATACAAATGTAAAAGATGTCCTCAAGTTTCGCAGTCGTGAGAAGCAAAGTGCACTTGTGTCATATTTTCATGAAAGGAAGCTATTGACTGCTATCTCACGGGAAGACTTTAGGAAGATCATTATTCTTTCATTATATAGCTAATCAAGCAAAATTTCAAAGAGAGAGAGCGAGAGGACTAAACTAAGTGAATCAACATGTTTAGTCATTAGGAGTCATGTTTTTGAAAACAATAGTTGAACACCGGTATGCCGCAAGGATTCGAAAATTGACTAATTTGAAAGTTCTTACTATAGTTTGTGATGTCTAATTTATTGATAATCCCGATTCTATCATGACAAAATATGTTTATAGTTACAAAACTCTTTTTAGATACATATTGAGTAGTCATAACAGATCATTTAAATTAACAACTCTTAACAAAATTGACCCTTTTATGTAACGATAATTTTAATTTGAATATCTGTAACTAATGAAAATTGATATTACTAGAAGTTAAATAAATAGTTCGTCGTATTTGATAAAGAATTTTTTTAGATGAACTGTTTATTAATTAGTCAAGTTCCATAATAAAGTTATAATCAGAAAATAATTATGTCCCCCAATAATTTATAGTTTGTAAGTAATCGATCGATTCTAATACACAGTTATCATTAAGCTATTTAAATTCAATTAATTATCTGTTATTAAAATAACTATGATATTTGATGTGTTATTTGACACGACTATAAGCAACAGTATAAAATAATATGGATATCATTCATAATTATGTACTTCAACATATATTACCAGTTGATTCACATACTCGACTCATATCGTCAATCAAGTAGTTAATATTTTTACAGTTTATTATCTCATAGAGTCCGATTTGATAATGCGGATTAATAATCGACATAACAGTAAATAATGGAATACTTGAATTTTTCGTGTGTAAAAATTTCTGTTTTATACTAAAAAAAAAAAAAGAACAGGCGACGAGGGTCCTTTGCAAGTTTTTCCTACTATTAGGATTAGAGATGTAATAAAGTTTTATAAAGGGTTATGCAGCATGCGAAATATGAAACATTGGCCATGCAATGCGACGTACTCGAATCCCTGCACTGTCTCCAAACGTTGCATTGCTTCATCAGTTCCTAATGATCCCTAAACGATGCCTCTCTCTCTCTCTTCAACCATTGCATTGCTGCATCAGTTCCTGTGATGCCTCTCTCTCTCTCTTTCAATATATATACAGACCCACCCCTCCAACGTTGTATACGCAACTCGTGCCATCCTTTTCGCAGCACACCGACGCTGCTGACATTGATCTCCGGTGTCCATAATCGAGGATCGAAGTGAAAAGAGTGATTCGAAGATGGAAGAAGACTACGGGTGGGGAAGCGGTTCGATATTGATGATCGTGGTGGTTGCCGCGGTGCTCTTGCTGGCCCCGTTGGTGATGGGTTCGGTTCAACCGCCGGGTTTATCCCTCCTGTTTTTCCCCGTGGTCCTCGTCGCGGTTTTCCTCTTCCTCTGTTTATCCTCCAAATAAGTGTGTAGGCTTTAGACTTATATGTTTCGTTTCCTTTTCCCTCTCTCTCTCGCGCTCTCATTTTGTTTGTGAGCGTACCCTGCCATCTTTGTGATGTATAGGACATACATTTCTGTATTGTTCAGTCAAGTTTATTAATTGTGGTTGCTCTTGCTGTTGGTGCATTGATGAATGGTGAGTTACTCGTTCTAAACAGATTGTGTCGATGTTTAAAGAACCCAAGATGTTGAATTTATCCTTTTTGCCATGAACCATTATTTCTTGACCAGCCTAGCCTACATCAAGTTCTCAGGTGGCGACTAAAGAACGAGGTCGGCAAGACAACTGAACTCGCGATCTTGCTCGGTTTACTTGAAAATGCCTATGACGATTGGCATGTTTCTCGGGGTCATGAATCGAAATTCTCGTTAGTCTCCTCAGTGTTCGAGGGGAATTTGGAGCAGTATGTTCACAGGCATTAACGGATGAAAAACTGAATCCAAAATTACAAGTCATACATAAATCGTAGGAATTTTGTATACAATATATAGTTATTATGCTATGCTAATGGATGCTGTCTTTTCACTCCTAGTCACAAGGGATGAAGAGTTGTGCTGGTTTAGTAGCAAGTATCACAGACTCGAGTAAAAACTCCTACATAAATACACGAAAATCGAATGGACACGACCCTTTGATTTCTATGTAGCGTGTTCAATTGAATGTTGTTGTTCAAGTTTTCTGGTAGTGCAATGCTGTCTGATACTCCTGTCCAAGAATATGAAACCGAAGGTATCATCCAACGGCCGGCAACTATTTATGCTTGAAAATGGATCACTTCACAGTTAATGAATTATCCAAAGACGAATTTCAAACACTACGTTGTCATCTGCCTCATCAATTTGCAAAAGCCGGTTCAAGGCGACAGAATACCGCGCCTGGACAAAAAACTGTTTCATTTACAGAGAAAAAGAAGCACAGTAAACTCACGGATTGGAGGACAGCTGATGCAAAAATAGAAGAGAGAACAACTCTCTGCCTCAATCGAAAGAACAAGGCTTTCGATCGGCCATGTTTAATTCGGGGATACCACCAGAAGTGTTTAGAATGCACTGAAGACCTTAGACAGTGTGGAGCTCCCACTCTTGTTTGTGGCTCGCGCTATCGAGGGCGCTGGTTGAATCGATCAGTCCAGTCTTGTACAAGACATCCAGGTCATGAAAATACGGGCAAGACTTGCTATAGGCCGGACGCTTGTTCCCTTTTGCTATCCACTTCTTGAAGTACTTGTTTATGTTGTCCCATTTCTCCCTGCATTTCTTTGTGCTCCTCTTGTATCCCATAGCCGACATGCTACATGATATTTCTTCCCAAATAGAGCGTTTGAACCCCGAGCGAAGCTTAGGTTCCAAAGCCGCTCGGAGAGCTATGAGTGCCTGTACTTCAGACGCAGGCCACCTCTCATTATTTGGTTTCAGGTTTGGATTGCACTTTTTTGCAGGATTTGACGGATCAAGCTCTTCGTCCTTTGAACCTTGATTTTCATCTTCATCTTCCTCAACAGACAAGCTATTTAATTGTTGAGGGACTTGATGGCCCATGTGTTTCTCGATGAACGAAATAAGGGCGAGACTACTACGAGAAGTCTCTTGTGCTCTTAGTTCCTCATTCCTTTTTATTTGTTCCATCTCCTGCCGATGCCACGCCTCTTCCCTACTGATTCTCTCCCTTTCCATCTTCTCTAACATCTGTACTAATTCCTGGTGCATCTGCTCCTGCCTTGCCATCAGTTTCATCACCATATTCTTCATGAAGAGCTCGAATTTCTTTCTCGTTCTTCTCTTCCTCTTGCGGTTATCGGGTTCTCTAACATCTGCCGATGCATCATCGCCCTCATCTGATGACGAACTGAGGACAGAGAAAAGACCGACATGATAGCCACAATCAATATGCATTCAACGAGGGTAAAGCAGGAGTCCATGAATTTCTATCTTGTCAATAGAATCATTACGTTTTCCAAAATGTCAAACCAATACTATCATTATTCTTTCTCACAACAATTCTCAATTCAAGATGCATGAAATGCTGAATCACATGTATTATTGAAAGAGGAGTTAGAAAACAACGAATCAACGCGTTAATCTACTGGCATCCAACAGAAATCAAAATATACAAGTGGGCAGGAGGAAATGAAGGGAAAAAGGTCAAGTACCGCAAGATGACTAGCTATACAATTCCGAACCAGGCCGCTCCCTCCATCGACACTAGTTAGCTTTTAGTAAGCTCGGTTAACCGCATCTCACATTTACAGAAAGCAAGGCTAGTGGCCAGAGTATCGCAGGGCATGAATGATGATTAATAGCCTCTCTTCATGGTCTCTGCACTTTCAAACTCATTACCACATTATCACAGCTCACATCAATTAGAATCCCCCCCCCCGCCCAACACCATGATCGCGGTTTATCCCATGAGCAAGTGTCATATAAGATTAGTCTCTCTCATGCTACACGCTTCATTTCACGACGTATCGCAGTTGTTCGATCTCAACCTCGTAATTCCATAGGACGGAATCCATAAATCCTACCCCGTAACCAGCCACTTAAAACGATACGCCTTCCAATATCCCGAGGAACCGTTCGGATACTCTTACAATACCTGCCCGAGTTCCTCAGTTCCGATAGCATCGTTCATCGAAAACTTTTGAAGTGTCAATGGTCACGGTTCCCAAGCGACCTTAGAAGGCCCATACCTATTCACCCGAGTCAAACACTACTTGGAAAAACCTGAACTTGACTGTACCCTTTTCACAAATTTTACAGGGGAAAGAGTGAAAGCGAAGGTGCAGTAGCATCTCACGGTGGGTAAAAAGCTATGATTAAACACGAGCTTAACAACTAATAATCAATAAGCAAAAGTTGAGCACCGACAACGCCACAAATTAGCGAGCTTTCAACACAGAACAAATCAGCTACATAAGCAAGAAATGGCTCACCACCATGACTCCTCCCAGAAACGCCCCGGACTATCCGGGCCCCCGCTCCCCTCGCCGAGCTTCGACCCGAGCCCGCACTCGCGGGGCTTCTCCTCCTCCGCCGCGTCGGCAACTCCAGCTCCGCTCGGACCCTCGGACGACCCATCACCGCCCGCGCGCACCCGGAGCCCCCCGCCGCCCCCCGGGGTCTCCGGTGGCGACCTGGCGGCGCACCTGATCGGCCTCAGCTTCGGGCGGCGTCGGCAGTGAGCGCCCTCGCCGGGGCACCCGACCCCGGCCGCCGCTGGGTCCGGGCGCCGATGGCAGACTAACGCCGCGGACGGCTCCGGGAACGGGTCCACGCTCTCCGCGAGGGCGGCGCCGGCGAGGAGTTCCATGGGGTTGGCGGCGGCGGCGGCGGCCGAGGTAAAAAAAAAGTTCGGTAATCGGCGGCGATGAGATCAAAGTTAAAAAAAGGAGGGGCCTTTGGGGAGGAGGCGGGGGTTGGTGGTGAAATGAGGAGGGTGATTTGGGAAATTACGGTGGTCGGTTCATTCTTGGCGTGTATTTACGGGTTTGCCCCTCTGACGTGTCGAGCGGTCATGGGGTTTGGTTCATTTTGGATAATACGTTGTCTTTTTTTTTTTTTCTGAATATTGAAAGTTAAAACTGATTAGCCTTAACAAAGAACACGTATGATCTTCGATGTGGCATGTTTAAAAAGAAAAAAATTAAGAAAAGAAGAAGAGAAAACCAAGATTAAAAGTATAAGAAAAAAGAAAAATAAGCCCCAAAAAAAAAAAGAAATTAGAGAATTGAAGAGGGAACTTCGATTAGAGCTGCATCGTCAGCCCGTCTCCCCCGGTAGGGGCAGTTGAGCGAAGAGGACAAGAGTTGTCTTATCACCCTGCTTTATATTTCATATCAAACTAAACAAAGAAAAATATTGTCTTATCATCTTATTATCATTTTTTTTCATATTTTTGAACTGTTCGGACTTTGTAAGCATTTGATTTATCCCCATTGGGTGTGGAAGTCCATGCATCTCACAAACATGGGAATAATTGAACTTAAACCTCGAGCAGAAAAGGACGAATACGCTTCCCATTAAAACAATTCATTGAAGATGGCATGAGTTATTAATCACTCTATTAAAAGTGTCATCATGGTCGGGTCAGGTTTCCATGATACCTGGCTTGAACACTGTAAAAGCGTGCTTGACACGATCCAATCCGAGACCCGAACCGCTTATAACCTGAGTCATCAAGTCGGGTCGGGTCGGGTTTCGATATTTTAATCTTTACCCAATTTGCCTGATATTACTGTTTGGATTGTTTAGAACAGGCTGAACATCAAGGAGGAACAACACGAATTATTAGATTATTGGTTTGACAAAAAATAAAAAAACAAGAATTATTGGATTACGTACCATTGTATTTAATTTCTTCGAAAATTCTATATGTAGTACATGCAATACAGATTATAGTAAAATGGCCATCTAGAAAAACCGAGTTGACCCAACCCCGTTGACACGCCAACAGTATTTGGTGCTTAGCGGCGGACCCGCTGGTCCTACCCCTTCCCTCTGAGTCAAATTATATAAATGTTTTGGTTTGTTTCGCGAAAAAAATTAATAATTTAATAAAAAATTTCTTAATAATATTCGCATGTTCGAAGGAAAAGAGTCGAATGCATTTTCAAAGCCCGACTCCCCGATTCTTATAAACCGTATCCTCTTCTATGAGTTTCATATTTTTTTATTCATTTGCGGGTAATAATACTTCATATGTGGTGCTTGATTTAGATAAATGAACAACATGTTCTGACAATGCCTCTATTCTTCACGCATGAGTTTTGCTTCTAATCCGGCGAACAAACACTACTATGATTACAAAACCCGATTGTGACATGTGAACGAGAGCTATCGGCCCTACTTTAAAGCGTCATTCTCCCTAAGAGTAGTGAGTTCGTCTCAATTAATGTGCAGACAATATCTCATGTCGACAATATATTAGAACAATTAAAATTTGGGATTATGTGGCCGCTCTATAGTCACGTAAATCATAATGAAGAGTCGGGAGGGATGATCCAATAGAATTATGTGTGACCACTTCAGATGGTCGATGTATGTAGTTGATAAGCACCTCAAGAGAACAATGCGTGTGATACTTGTATTAGTTGTCTTATGTCCCCTAAATGAAAATTAGTGGAATGACGAGAATATTAAAGGTATCGTGCACACCACATGGATAAAGGGCTTGTGCTGCAAAGATGACTTGCCCTCTTTCCTTTGTGAGAGAGGTTCGCGGACATGACTCTCCAGTAAGAGGAAAGCTAGTAAAGGTACCGGCATAGTTACCGGGCGAAGAGGTTTGATAGACATGATGCATTGTTTCATTCAAAGGCGGTCGTCCGCCACTCTCACTGACACTCGAGCTCGGCGCTCATCGCCGGTTTCGCTACATGCACCTGCCTCTCTCTCTCTCTCTCTCCTCTCTCTCCACGCCTCGTCACAAGTCCACTCTTTCAAATCCGACTCCTCACCTTCACCTACTCCTCTCGCTACTATCTTACCTCTAACAGCAACTCGCGGTCGAAATCCGGATCTATTTTACTGGAGAGAAAGTATCATCATTGACGTTTTTTTCTCTGTGTTTCCATTTGTTTTGTTTGGCAAATCATACTACACACATAGAAAACAGTTATGTTACGTCTAAACTCATGGGAAGGACGGACTATGCATTGAAGGAGCATCAAGCTCAGCTGGTTGGTGAACTTGGGGGAGGTTTCCATCGAGCTAGTTCATGAGCGACAGAGTTAGCTTTAGGGTTGACTTGCTTGAAAGGAACAGACTCCTATTCCAGCAATAGTAAGCGCACATCAGGGATGCAAGTCACCAGTGATCGCAGAACAGAATGCGAAGTGCGTGCTTGTATGACTGAATGATTACGTTCTAAAGTCATGATCTCCCCTTTACCCCCGGCTCCCTCTCTCTCTCTCTCTCTCTCTCTCTCTCTTTCTTCTCCCTCCCTCTTTGTCATCTATGTCCTGCCCGGGCCACCATCCCTCTGCCACCACTGCTGCGCCACTCGCCCCCGACTTTTCTGGCAGCCCTTCAGCCAACCTCCGAGCACGATCGCATCGACTGAGCCGCCCCTCTCTCTCTCTCTCTCTCTCTCTCTCCACCCCCCCCCCCCCCCCCAACCCTACAACCCCTCAGCTGGGGATCGACCTTAAGAAACCCAGCTACTGTAGTCGCCACTACTGTTCACATTGTAGGAGGCTTCTTCTTGGCCAGACATTGGCGGAGGCTTGGCTGAGGAGAAAGCAAGTATTTCTTTGTTGAGTATTTAATGAGTGCAAATTTGGTCTTCATTTAAAGGAACAAGAGATGGGTCTGGGATGCGACAACCAGCTCTTCACCTTTGAGTGGTGCTTATATCTCAATTTCATGACTTTTTTCATGCATGCATATATAAAAAAGGGCCTAATTCCCTTAAAAATCTTCAACTCTAGATCTAATATTAATTTTGTCCCGAACTTTTTTTTGTCTACATTAACTTTCACTTTAACCTCAAATGTGCTCCAATTAACCCTCCATCCAAAAAGCATCACTAGTTTCTTTAATATTATCACTATCTAGGCCACTTAGAGGTTCATTATTAGAACATGCATTTTCATCAATACCATCATCTTTGTATGGAAAAAAAAATAGCCTCTCGAGGTTGATAATTTTTTAAAAAACTGTTTGCAAATTTTGGACGAAAGGATAACAAAGGCAAATCAGGACTATAGTGAAAGCCGAAGGTTTTTGTTAGACAAAAGAATTCGTGGCAGAATTGATTAGTTAGGGAAGCCCATAAAAAGGATAATGACACCATAATTATCTAAACTCTTATCTATTCTACAATTGAATATCTAAACTTTTTCTTCAATCAAATGCCCAACTTTTCAAATTTGGCTCACGTGAGACCTCCATTAAAATCACAGACCAAAAATGCCAACGTCGTCACTAGCATCGTTAAATTATAGTTAGCTATCTATTGGCACCTGAAAGCAACTGAAATCAGTCTCAGAGAGAGAGAGGGAGAGACTGACAGATAAGTGATAGGAGGCTTTACTTCGTATCTTTCCCTGTATGAGTAGATTTTGCTAAATATATAGCGACAAAGCAACTAAAATCCTCTGAGAACGAAATCGTTTCCACAGGTTCGGAAAAATAAAATTGGAAAAGGAAAGAAAGACCTACAACGTTATCCACTCCTCTCTCTCTCTCTCTCTCTCTCACTTCATCCACTTCCATTTCAACTGAAAAACCAACCCATCACAGCAGAACCTTTCTTACATTCAATCTTACAGCATTTACACAGTGTCGAAGATGGAAAACATCGAAAGATTAGCCATCACTAATCCACTAATAATCACAATTATACATGTAAAAACTTCTTCTTCCCTTCCTACTCCATGACAACACCCACCAGATCGCCTCTATCATACCCTTATGCTCCTCCACACAGTACAATCTCTCTCTCTCTCTCTCTCTCTCTCTTTTTCCGTGTGTCATGTGAAGACCAATGAAATGGGAAGGAGGAAAAAAAAAACCCTTTTGTTCTTTAACAGCATTCGTGAACATTACTTGGATCCACTAAGGAAAAAGATGAAACTAGAAAGGCAAACTAAAACGAAAAAGCTTGGCATCAGCATCATCATCACCATCAGCATTTTTACTAATTTAATTAAAAAGGAGGGAGAAGAAGTTAAATTCTTTCCTTTTTGTTTTTAATATATGAGAAGAAAAGGGAAGAGAAAAAGGGAAGAACCTACCTTGGTCTCCCACCAGATGACCCTCCACTACCGGATCCATACATGTGATGGTGACTCTGATGATGCGCATGATGCACATGATGCCCCATCATCATCATCCCCCCGTACATCCCCCCACCTCCCCCAACCCCATACCCACCCGCGGAGCTCCCGCTGTTCACGACGGTGCCCCCGCCGCCCCCGCCGCCGATGCTGCTGCCGTCCCCGCCGTCCGATCTCTCCCCGCCCTTCCCCATGGCCGCCGTCTTCTCCCCCTCGATCTCCCGGAACTTCTGCAGGTACACCTTCAGGGGCTCCACGTACTCCTCGAACCCCAGCGTGGTCATGGCCCAGAGCAGATCGTCCCCGTTGATCGTCTTCCGCTTCTCCCGCTGGCACTTGTCCGACGCCTCCCCCGTTATGAAGCTTATGAACTCCGACACGCACTCCTGCAGAGGAAATCCGGGAGGTCCCGACAAACGAATTATCACACCAAATAACAGCTCCGTTCGCGGCAGCAACAAGGGTTCGACAAGAAGGGCAAGGGGCAAGGGGCAAGCCTGGCCTGCCGCCGCCGCCGCCCGTCATTTTTTTTTACCTGCACCGTCTCCTTGGCCTCCTTGGATATCTTGGCGTTGGCGGGGAGCGCCTTCTTCATGATCCGGCTGACGTTGGCGATCGGGAGGAAGCGGTCCTGCTCCCGGGCGAGGGCCGAGGACTCGCTGTTCCCGGCGTTGTGGCCTCCCGAGTCGTTGTCGGAATCCGCCATGAACCTCCCCTCGATGCCGCCGGGCCGAGGGGCGGCGACGAGCCGCCCTCGAGAATTCAGGCGCGCGGGGACGAACGTCGCTCGAAGCGAAGACGGTGGTGGCTGGCTGTTCTCGCCGGAGGGTTTTGTGACCTTTCGGACACGACCGAGGTCGTACGGTAATAGAGAGAGAGAGAGAGAGAGAGTGAGCGTGAGTGTGTGTGCGCGCTTCGCTTCGGCTTCGCTTTGCTTCGCTTCGTGTAGGGAAAGTGGGAGGGTTTTTGATTCGGACTTGATGATTTGTGTTATGTGATGCGGGGGTGGATTTTTCTTTTTTTAATATCGGATCGGAGGAGCGTTGCGGGTGACACGTGGGGGCCTCCCCCGCCGTTCGTTTATCGATAAGTTCACGCGACTTGGGCGCGCGGCGTGCCGTCCGATGTGCCTCGGGATCGCGGGATCCCGGCCGTCCGATCACCTCGCCCCCGCACGTGATCTGGGCCCTCTGCGTGTCCCGATCCCCCCGGCTCGGCTCGGCTCGGCTCGGCTCGGCTCGGGCTCTCTCCGCTTTGTACGTGAGACTTTCATTAAATGTTTTAAAAGATGGAATTGGAACCCCTCCGCCAACCCTCGATTGATTAATTTTTTTTTTTGTTTTAATTTAATCTCAGTGACGTGGCAGTGTCTCCTCCTGTACTTGAGGAGATCCATATGCCTCAAAAATATTGGGGAACGATTTTTTCCGTCAACCGATCTTGAAGATGCCGCGCGGGATTCTCAATAGCATCAACCAACGAAAGTCCCGGTCACAACTTATTCTCGCGTACTAAAATATGGAATGATATGGCCAGATATTTTCTCGATATGTTCTTTTGACTAAATGTTGCCTGATGCGGTTCCTAGCTTTGGATTAGATAAAGCTAGGGGGCTAGAAAGCTTCTTTATGTTAAATCAAATTTGGACTTTTCCGGCTAAAGAAGTTTCCACAACAGTTACATTTTGGTTTTAGTGTCTTTCCGCACGAAGCTGCGCTGTTCCAAAGGACTCCCTTAGAACTTGCGAGACCTTTTTGCTTTTAGCCATGCGAGTAACTTCTTAGGAATTTTTATAAACATGCAATTACCACGTTCATTGATCCTAGAGAAACGATATCGGCATTAATAAAATGGTGTTGCGATCTTACGTGTCGTTAATAGATTACGTTGCGATCTTACGTCTCATTTTTTATAGGATAGTTCGCATTTCTTTTTTTCGCTGGTAAATCGACACATGCCATGAGCAACAAATCGAGATAATTATCAAGGATTGGTCTTTCTATGTTTAGCTCTTTTGCTTGCCAAGCCATGTCTGCGTCCACGACACGATTAAGGCACGCAATTCATATCGTGATTAAAGAAACCGCATGAAATACTTTCCCTTGCACGACGGTGAACATATATTGTACCGGACATATATCAAACCCTAAGGCATGTGTTCGTGTTTCTATCGGGCTTCGACCCACATTTCAATTCTCAATTTAAGAGGTCGGTGAGGTATTTTCTAAGACGAGTTTTCTTGTAAAAAGAACTTTTGGCGTACTTTTCCATCTTTAACGAGTGTTGAATGGGTCGAGTGATGCCAGATAGTCATCTTTATCCCTCATCTTATCTATTGCCCGCCACTCATGGAGCGACGTTTTTGCTAATTTTTCTCTAATGCAAACATGAATTAAAATCTAAAATCAGATGCATAGCCAATTTTTTTTGGGCTTAATTGGAGTAACCATTTTGGTTCAAACTTTTTTTTATCTTCTCAAAAATTAATAATTTTCACTTAAATCTCAAATATGGCACGAACAATTTGAAAATTTTAACATAACAAGGATCAAATTTACGACTCGAGTAAAAGTTAATTCTTTTTATCGAGACAAAAAAAGTTCGGATCATAATTATTATTCAAGATAAAATTTGTGCTTTGTTTTTCTGGAATTAACTTTGTTTTTTTGCTAAAAAGTATTCATTTTTAAGAATTTAAAATGTAGAGAAGGGAGTGCCCTACCCAAAAGGACTACAAGCCAGACAAAGTTGTTGGGGGGGGGGGGGGCGGTCAAAGCCGCTCCAAGCCGCCGCCATTTGTGGCCATATTCCATGACGTCAGCGTGACGTGCGGTTTGATTTTACCAATTCATTCATTTATTTATTTTTGGTTTTTTTTGCCAGTTTCTTTCAACTGCTAGTGGAGCGGAGCCAATGGACGAAAATGGGATTCCCCGGGGGGGTCAAAAAGCCTCGCTCCCACGCCCCCCGTCCGCCATGCATCATGCGTTTTGACCGCAGATGCTGCCCCCTCCCCACCACGTTGGACGGTCCTGATTTCTCGCAATCATGCCCGGCGGGCCCCGCACCGAGCAGCACGTGGGCCGTGACGGGGCGCCCTTGATGATTCGAGCAGGTGGTGGGAGGGAGGAGGTCCTTGGTTGACCGGCTCATGACGAGACAAGCGAGGGAAGATGGGTCAAACTGTTCAAGTGTCGATTCCTCAAAACCTCGATCGATGAAACGCACGGCACGAATTCGATCCCTCGCACCAATTCGTGTTTTCCACTAGGCTTTTGACCCGCATTTTCATTCTCGCTCAATCAAGGCGAGGCCGATCTCGCCGTCGCTAGGTTCTCTTGCTACTTTCGAGGCGATCTTTGCTAAAGCCAAATACGGAAGGAGGATAAAAAAAAGAAAAAAAGAAGAAATAAAAAAAATTATTAAAAAAGATAAATTATTAATTATTAAAAAATTACTACGTCGTGGTTTTGGTATGGGTCGAGTCGGGTATGGGTTAAGAAAATTGCATTCCGCATAAATGGGTCATAAGTGGGTTATTAATTATTAAAAAAATTACTACGCAGACTGCAATTGGCCAAAAGAACTGAATCAGAAAATGTAAAAGGTTTAGGATTAAATTGGCAAAAATGCAATAAATTTATGACTTTTTGAATAATTTTTCCGGACTCTCATCAAACTGTTGAAGTTCGATTCCTCAAACCTCAATTGATTAAGCGCACGTCACAAATTCGATTCCTCGCACCAATTTGTGTTTCCATTAGGCTTTTGAACCTTAGTTTAACTCTCGACTTAAGAGATCGATGAACAATTTCTAAGACGGGTTTTCTTGTAAAAAGAAACTTCCGGTGTACTTTCCCATTTTAATGAGTGTCGGGTTTTCCTCTCCCGCCAACCTATTGCACGCCACTCATGGAGTGGTGTGTTTGAGTGTCAATGACCACAGTAAGAGGCAACCCAACTTTGGCTGAAAAAGACAACGAGTTTAATAATGTAACATCATTCTTAAGTTGATTCAACATGAAGCCAACGAAGAAATTGCATCTTTCCTGTGCTTCTCCACTTGTGTCGAAAAGCGGGAAGATTCTACGAGAATCCTGCCAAAGGACACATTGGAAAAAGCAACCAGGCTGCAATATGCATGTACGACTGATATTTTTAACTTCCGCGTGCTTTTTGAATACAGTCAGCTGTATATCATTAGAGCCATCTTCAACTCTTTGAAGAAGTGATTGACAAGTTTGGTGTTGATAAATTTTGCCCATGAAAATTTACTGGTTTGTCCTATATAGTGATAGCTTGATGCACTATCTTTGGCCAACTACATTTCATCCAGCGACAAGCAACCGGTTGGATTCAACCCGAAAACCGAACATAACTAGCCTTACCTGATTGATTCAAGGGTGGTTCCAGGAAGAACTGATCCGCTTCTCGATTTTGAAAACTTCGAATCAGCTTTATGTACCATGACTAAGTTAATGAATCCCGCAACCTCCATCCTGAAGTTGGCGCATAAGACAATTCAACTAACTTCATGACGCCCATTGCACATACTCCTCCACTCGTTGCCGCCCTGTGATTGATACCAACCTCCATTCAAGCCGCTCAATGCCATTGCCGGTGTTGCCCATTGCACATACTCCTCCACTCGTTGCCGCCCTGTGATTGATACCAACCTCCATTCAAGCCGCTCAATGCCATTGCCGGTGTTGCCACTATCTACCCACTCCTCTCTCTCTCTCTCTCTCTCTCTCTCTCTCTCTCTCTCTCTCTCTCTCTCTCTCTCTCTCTCTCTCTCTCTCATATGAGATAGTGACCTCAATTCGAGATTCTCAGTCGAAGGCGATCTCTAGACTAAGATTGCCCGAGGCTAAGTGCGCCATTGGCAAGATGGTTGTGGCCTTCGTGGTTGTGACTAGCTACGCGTATGCAAGATATGCAATAATGGAGATAGATACGGAGCGAAGAGACAGCAAGGCAAAGGTGCGATGAGGGTGTGGAGCGAGCAGTGACGGAGCCCCTCACCTCATGGGGGGTGAGAGAAACTCAGCGATGGATCGCATTAGAATACTTAAATATTAAATCACGCAAGTTTAAGCTTTTAAACAATTGATAATGGTCACACAAAATCTCAGAGGCGGGGAGGGAGGAGGTAAGGTTTAGATTCTTGGTGTAAATTTTCTCTAGAGTCATAATATTTTGGACAATTTGGATGACTAAATCAGGTCTAATCATCTCCTAATAAATTGCCATTAGCAAATCGTAATCTTCCTCCTTTTAATTACTTGCACGAATGCCGCGTCGAGTTAATGTTTTATCCCAACAAAAGCCGCTTAAAATGGGAAAAAGATTTTACTTTAGGGTTAGCATTTTAGGAAGGTGGGTCGCTCTGTTGAAAAGATTAATTTGGGGCAGATTCGAACTCTTTTGGATGGGAAAGTTATTGTGTATTGTTAAGTTATTACATCGAAGTAGTATGCTTCTATATATTTCGATGCTGCAATTAGTTCTCTCTATTTTATGGCTCGTAAAGTGAGCTTACAAAAGCTAAATCGAGGATGAGAACTTGGCTATCGATGCAAGCTATTAGGATACGTAAAAAGATCAAGTTAAGACAACCAAACTTTACGTATCAACTGCCCTTCTAACTACCAACTTCCGTTTCGGAGATTTCGAGGATATAAAGACAAGTAAGCCCCTAGTTATGGATCTAATCCACGAAATCTCCCCTGCTCATCCTTTGCAAACTTTGACCGCATTCAATTGAAGAGTGTCAAAAAGGGTAGCTACGTAAAAATGTCAACTGCACCTTGTAAATCTTCATCTTCATTGCACGAAACACGCGATGGAGATTGAAGAACAAACCCCATGAATAAATATGAGGTACTTAGCTTTGGAGCTTCGACCGCGATCTTGCGACGATGACCATCTTCTTCATCTTCTTCTTCCTCGTTATCTCCGACGGAGCTGCTTCGATGGAGGGCTTGCCTCTCGAGTTCTCGAGCCGAGACGAGCTGGTGGAAATGGCGGGATACGGCGAGAAGAAGGTGTCGACCGTCTTGGTCGCCGGCTCGGTTTCATGCGAGGGTCGCTTTCTCGGCGATGCTCGTCATCAGCTTCATGCTTGGCCAGTCTCCGGTCTTTACCTATAAACTCGAACTCTGCTATTTGAAAACCCTCTGCCATTTGAAACCCTAAAGCTAGATACGACCTTCATGATTATTTGACTATTACTGTATGCTGACTATAGTCGTCAGAATCAATCCACAGGTGCTTTAGTTGGTGTGAAATGTCGTACAAGCAAGAACGAGATCAGTTTGGCTTGGACTCGAGGCATCGCCGATGAATTTGGCGACTTCACCATCGATCTCCCTTCCCACCTCCACGCCATTCCGGACCTGCCCAAGGAATGCTCGGTTGAACTCCTCCGAGTCCCGAGAAGCTCGCTCTGTCGGCCGGCTCGCGGCCATAGACGCAAGAGGTTGAGATTAGCTTCGGTCCGGGACGGGGTTCGCAGTTACGAGGTGGGAAATATAAGGCTCATGCTCATGCAGTCCTCAAGGCTTGCAATGGAATATAGAAGCAACAATAAGAGGGTCATGAATAGAAATCTATAGCTAGTTGATCATTCAAAAAGGACAGTTCCGTCCGCAGAATATAATTCGATACATATTGAATGACGATTATTTTGAAGGCAAGGCAAGAGCATGTTGGCGATTTGCATGGTCTTGGGCAAGTTGTACTTGTTCAGATGATTTTCTGAAGGTGTATATTTTAATCAGTAGCTGGATGATGTTGTGTAAATTCGATATTTAAATAATTTTTTTAATTCAACTCCAGGGTGTTATAGGCTTTATTTTTGGGTACAGATATGGTCCACTTGCCAATGGTGCATTGTTTGGACCTGACTGGTCTGGTGGGAAATCTTAGGCCCATCCAGAAATTGCGGCTCCCTTTCTTTTGTTCTGTTTTTTTTTTCTTCTGTAAAACATGGTTTTTGGGCCAAAATTGCTCTTTTTCTTTAATCTCTCAACCATCTAAAATTGCTTTTTTTTTTGTGAAATTTCTAATCATCCGAAATTAATTTTCTTTTAGCTTTTTTTAGAAAAAAATTACTCAAAGCCCCAATGAACTTTGGAGCAGTACACATTCGTGACAAACTTTCAACTGTTATACAATAGCCTTGAACTTTCATTTTGTTTCATTTGTTAATACTCCATTAATTTTTCTTTTAGAATGTGCGATGCACAAGATTTTATTGGGGTAAAAAGTGTGCTTTGCATCTCATTTTTTGAGGCCAATCTCTTTTTTACTCATAGGCCCTGTTTGGCAACCGGCCAAATAGTGAAAATTTCTGTTCTTTTGTTCCCAGAATCAGTTTTGGAACAGAAATCTATTTGTTAAATTTTTTGATTCTGGGCACAAAAGAATTTGTGCCTAGAATCAATTTTGAAGTAGAATCAAGAATAAAAAAAAAGTAGCTTTTTGATTCTGGGAACAAAAATGAGAATCAATTTTTTTTCTTCTTCTTTTTCTTGGTTTTTAATGTAGCTTCTAATGTCCGGCGCGAGGGCCACCCTCGCCGTATCTGACGAGATTAAAATATTTTAATAAAAAAATATTTTATCGGCTATGAACAAAAAAACTTATTTTACCAGCCATGGCCAGCGACTAGGCCATGAAAAAAATATATTATTAATAAAAAAATATTTTATCTGCCATGGCCGACGACCAGGCCATGGCAAAAAAAAGGAAAAAAATATTTTCAATAAAATTATTTTTTATTAAAATATTTTAAGAAAAAATATTATTAATAAAAAAAATATTTTACCGGCCATGGCCGGCGACTAGGCCATGGCAAAAAAAAATAAAAAAATATTTTCAATAAAAATATTTTTTATTAAAATATTTATAAAAAAATATTTTACCGTCCATGGCCAAAAGAAAGAAAAAAATATTATTAATAAAAAAAATTTTACCGGCCATGGCCAAAAAAAAAAAAAAAATTATTTTTTAATAAAAGTATTATTAATAAAGAAATTTTTTACCGGCCATGGCCAAAAAAAAATAAAAAAATTATTTTTAATAAAAGTATTATTAATTAAAAAATATTTTACCGGCCATGGCCAAGAAGGAGGAGAAGAAAAAAAGAAAAGAAAGAAATATTAAAATATTTAAAATATTATTAATAAAAAGAAATTTTATGCCGTTACCAAACGCATTTCTGTTCTTTTACTATTTCAGGAATAGAAATTTTGGGCCGTTACCAAACGCCTTCAAATGCTCAGAATCAGTTCCCGGGCACAGAATAAAAAAGAATCATTTCTGAGCAGAATCAGTTCCCGGGTACAGAATCGTTGCCATGCGCACCCTTAATTGCTGTAAAAAATGAAAAAAAAAGGGTGAAAACTAAATTGACTAAAATACTAACAATAGGAAAAAGATACTATCAAATATCATATTAAACATGTGTATGCTAAAAATAAGATATATGGTAAATTCACTAGTGTAAGGGATGTCAAGTGACTTGGATGTGTTTGATCTAGCTCTTTTTGTGATCTTTTTCGATTTGTTTATGCAACAGTTGAACTGCTTCTGTGCACCTGAATTAGCTCTGTTGAGCTGCTAATGCTATTGAATGAAGTTGGTCATTTTGAGTAAGGAGCTGCTGTTGAACAGAAGTTTGGTTTCATGCTACAAAATGAAGTTCCATTTTGTGCAAGGGCCAGCAACTGATGTTGAATGAAGCTGTTAAGTATGCTATTGAATGAACTGCTGTGTACACCTCACAGCCATTTGTATAAGCCAACTTGATCTCAACTTCAACAACAGGAGTTCTTTCATTGATCATCATATCAAAAGTATAACCAAGAACAAGAACCAAGAAAGAACAAGCATCCATTGATGCATTATCGTCTCCTTCTTTGCTTGTGCAAGCTCCTGCTTCAAGGTCATCACTTTTCCCTTCATCAACATGGAAGGAGTTCCCTTCATCAGCATCATCTTCATCAGGCATTTCCCTTGCTGCATTGCAATCGGTGAGCTTTTGTCTTCCATCGATCAGCTCCGAAATAATTTCCCTTATTCAATTCAATACTTTTCGATCAAGTCACGCAAAAAAACTTGCACTTCCCTGGCATATTAAACCCGGCACGTTCTATTAAACCTAGCCCATCCGTGAAACTGAGCGCATCCGTGAAACCTTCTTCCTCGGTTTATTCTTGTCAATGCAGTTTGCTGTGATGTTTGGAGCAAGATACCTCTGATTCGACTTCAAAGCAAGTCGATTGACTAGATCGTGTTGAATGAGGCATACTTCCGCTTGCCGTAGTCCTTGATCGAACGCGAATTAGGGTTCTTGATTTTGAGTTGCAGCTCCACTTATTTGATTGGGGGTGGAAGAAAATGGCGTCTTAATTAGGTTGTTTTAATTGTGATTGTAAGGGGACGGCGTCATTTTCTCTTGTAGGATGCCACGTTGGATTATTAACGACCACGTATGATGAAAAAATTAATACAAAAGCCACGTGTGTATTTTCATCCATTTAAAACTGACAAACCGAACGAAAGGACTTAATTACGAGAAGTTGAAAAGTTTTGGGATTTGAATGTATGATTTGACAGTTTAAGGACTGAAATGCACGAAGTTGACAAATTTTAAGATTTTTGCCGTAATTTTCATAATTTTTTCTTGACATTCAGCGTCGCCCTCGAATCTTATTTTTTTTTTCAATATGATCCCTGAATTTCTAAAATGTCGCTCAATATAATTTTTCCGTAACAAAAACTAGCAGAGCTAGCTAACACAAACGCTACCACCATTAACTTGCCATCAAGTTATATAGCTTGGCGTCTAGGTATAGCAATGGCTCGACCACCATTCTAGTTGCAACTTGTTGCCACTGCGCTCGGACGCCACCATCGCCAACTCAACCACCACCCGTTGTTGTAACTTGTCGCCGCCGACAAGATACACTTGACCACCAACGAGACAGACTCGACCACCACCTCTTGGCCATTGCTCATTGCATCACGACTTACTCGATTACCGCAAGCCAATTGAAACTCGGTCTCGACCATTGCAACTATTAGATATATACATTGATTTTTTTTATATTTCTCAGGACTTTAATTGTGCATATCCCCAATTGATTATAATTGGTATTATGTTTACCTCATTACCTCGGATAGTCATATAATTAAACTTATAAATAGGCTTGCGTACTTTTCGTTACGACACGCGTTGAAATACACAAAAATTACTTGATTCTCGTTTCCGCATATTTCTTATCTGCAACCATCGACATCCAAAAGTTAATACTGTATTGTTCTCTCTCACCTTGTGGTCGACCGCTATTAACGGAGATTACACGCTTGGTCGTGACATCTATTTGAGGTCCGTCGAAGAGTGAGAGAAAGAGCTCCCGAGGTTGAGCTGAACACGGAGGTTCGGCACCGGGAGCGATGGTGATGAGGCACGGCACGACGACACAGGTGACTACGAGTAGAAAAGATAAAGGATTTCATTTATAGAATTTAATGGAGCGGGACACTCTACAACATCACTATGTACAAATTTTTCCGTGCTGGCATGCCACGTAATTGCTGGAAAAAACAGGCGACAGGAAAGCCTGATTAACGGAATGACCATATTGAGCATGCATCAAATTGAATAAGAAAAAAAGTTCGAGGATAATATCAAACATCGGACAAAAGCTTAGGAGCTACCCATGATATTACCTTTTTTCCGGGGGCCTATGCACAAATAATGCAACAAATGAGGAGAGTAGCTTTGGAAAGAGTGAGATGGAAGGGAACCAAACCAAGGGATCGAAAAAGGCAAAAAGAGCACAGGGTATATTAATAAGCAACCAAAATAGCAGTTGAAGTTACCAAAACAGCATCATCATCGTCTCTCTCCTCCCCCATCTCTCTCTTCTCTCTCTCTCTCTCTCTCTGTGTTGGAGGAGGAGGAGGAGGAGGAGGAGGGTGGAGAGAAAGGGGAGGACTTTGTCAAAATGATGACGTGACGAGTATTCCCCCCCGCACTAACCCCTCCCCTCCCCTTCCCGTCACAATCACTACTGGGCCATCGTCCGATCTTCCAAACTCGTCGGAGTACAATTTGCCCCTTCTTCCCCCCTCTCTCGCTGTTTGGTTTCTCCCTTTCTTGGGTTCTCCCGTTCTTGGGTCGGGGCTGCCTTGTTCCTTCGCTCGCTCTCTCCTCCTCCTCCAAATCTCGTTTCGCTTTCGTCCTTTTGCGTTCGTTTTTTCATTTGGGTTTCTCTAATCTTTTTCCCCCCTTTAGTTTTAATCCGTTTCTTTATACCCTTAAAAGTTCCTGCTCCCGAACAGGGCGACCCATTTCACTGTCGCTTCGATGGGTGCCTGCTTCTTCACAGTGGGAAAGTAGCACTTTTCGGGGCGAATGGGTTTGTGGGTTCGTGGGTATAATCCTTAAAAGGCGTTCGAATCGAGCTTTGAATTGTGCGAGTGGGGGGCTTTTCTTGTTTAATCTTTTTTTCTTCTCTTTTTCTTTTTGGGGGGTGTTAATTCTTGAGGGGGGGATTTTCCCCTTCGTAGCGTTGAGGATAGATAGGATAAAAGAAAGAGGCTTTAATTGGAAAAAAGATGGGGAATGTGAACGGAAGAGAAGATGGGTTGGGCAGTCCATCTGGAGTCGATGAAGAAGGTGGCGGTGGTGATGGTAGTGCCCAGGATAGCATGGGTGCGGCCGATGAGGCGCTCGTTGGGTACCCTGCGCCGGCTGAGTTGATGGGTCAGTCTCCTCCTCACAGCCCAAGAGCCACCCAGTCTCCTCTGATGTTCACTCCTCAGGTTAGCCCCTTGGTTTTTTTTTTCCCTTTTCTATTTCTGGGTTGATTTGATTTCGTGACATTCCCCCCATTTGGAGGGTGTTGGACTTAATCTCTGAAAAATAAAAACTTGTAGCAGTTTCTTTTGCATGTGGTTTCTTAATGGTTTTGATTTGATGAAGCTGTCTCTTGTTTGGTTTCTGTTTGGGAGAGATTTCACTTTGGATTTGAGTCTGTTGTTGTGAGCTTAGTAGTTCTTGTGATCGTTACAAGGTTGGTTCTGTAGAGAACTATGATTGATAGTTGAATTGATGATCTCTTGGAAAACCTTTCTGGGATTTTGGATTGATGATGAATTACTCTTCTGCGTGTGTTTTTCTTTGGTGTTCATCAGATGTTTGCTTAAAGTTAGAGTGAATTCTTGGGTTTTCTTTTGGTTAAGAACATATGGCAATTCCTCAGCGTGGGAATAATACTCAGCTGCTGCAAATTTCTGTGCAATTCCTTCTGGACATGAAGATCCGGGATATGTGAAATGGAGCATTCTTGCAAAAAGTATTCTTCCTTGTTTTATTATGTGATTTGCGATCCCCGTAGTTTGTAGAGCTTCTGACTTCCTTTGTGAAGCCCGATCTACATCGTGGGGAGCTGAACAATTTCTCATCTGTATGAGATCTTGTCGATCCCCTCTTTGCCAAACCATTGCCATGTTTACGCCTCAACGATCAATTTTGTACCTGGGTCAGAAATCTGTTTATTCCAAGTAAAGGAAATATTTGTTTATTTGTCATGAGTTACTTTCATTGAGATTTTTAAAAAGATCTAATTGTAGTTTGCTGTCTACTACTTCCCGGTGTCACCCTTAGGTCCCGGTGGCTCCACTACAGAGACCAGATGAGATGCATGTTTCTGGCCACTCCTGGATGCAAACTTCCTCGGGTTTTGAAGATGTATGTAGTGAACAAGGGATACCAACCATGATCACATGGTGTTACGGTGGTAAGGAAGTTGCTGTGGAGGGATCGTGGGACAACTGGAAAACAAGGTTCCTTCCCTTTTATTTCTTTAACTCTCTGTTCTAGTGTTGTTTCGTCCTCGATGTTTTGCTGGAGCTGCACTGCACATGACCTCAAGTTTGAAACCTTTACCCTATTGAGCAGGATGCCCTTGCAGAAATCAGGGAAAGACTTCACAATAATGAAAGTATTGCCATCGGGTGTTTACCAGTATCGGTTCATTGTTGATGGGCAGTGGAGGTATGTGCCCGAATTACCCTGGGCCCCAGATGATGTTGGAGCTGCTTACAACATTTTGGACTTGCAGGTATGTGATTTGTTGTTAATAAAACGGGGTTGTTATTGTTCTAATAGGCTGGAAATGCCTTTACCATGGATAGTTTGTCTTCAAGTGGGAGTAAGGTGCTTTTGTCTCATTTACAGTTAGGTTAATGGCTGGAAGGATGGTTTGTTCTTTAACAATCTAATTTGAATTAGGGTAGTGTGCCAAGTGGAAGCTAGGGTGAACGGCTTCTTTGTCATTGACTGCCTCGCTGAACATATTGACTGCCTCGCTGAACATTCTTTTATTGTCCTGGTCCACACCTTGGGGTTTCTAGTCTTGTTCTTTTTTTATGGGTTAGTGTTCTAAGTTCTTATATGTGGGAGAACTTCCTTTATTCCATCTTCCCTTGGTTGATTGTTCTTCCCTGTCGAAATTGTAGTTTGATAATTCTTAAATTTTACAAGCACAATCATAACTGTTCAAAAGATCCTGATTTTAAGATACTCAGATTGATAAATGGGCTCTATAAGTTAGTCTGTCAATGTATGGCACTCTTCCCAGCCCGTTGATTTCCCCAAACAAGGTAAATGATAGTACTCATTCCAAAAGATGGTTGGAATTGTTGCTTTGGAGGAAGAATGACTTTATATCCTGATTGAGGCTGTAACCGTGAGCTCTATCTGTTCTGGGGACAAGTACTGCTTAGATAATGACAGATGTTTGTGGGAATATCTGAGCTTTGAAATATCTGCTACTTGGATGGATATTCTACTTTCAGTATTTTTATGTCTATCTTCTCGTCTTTTGGAACATGAGTAATTTGTACAAGTATCTTATTCAAATGTTATTGATGTCTATAAGATGATTGATAGGATCAACGACTGTATTCATTGTCGTATAGATCTTGATGCATCTCTTGACTGATCCATCTAGGTACATGACACTATGTTCCTTTATTCTATAGCTGTTTTGTGTAGCATGGATGAGTTATTGGACAATCTGGATTAATGCATGCTATGTTCATATCGAATAATCCACCATTAGACTTTGTCTTGTTTACAAAGTTTGGGTCCCTCTTTCTGGTTGGTTAATCTGACCAGTTCATCATTATCAGCTAAGCACGAACGTCCTTTTATGAGGAAGCACCACAATTTCGCCCAACTGGATAGTGGATTCTAGGGACTGTTATCAAAATGGCATGAGAAATCCACTGCATGAAAGATTTAAATTGAAACCAACCGAGACTATTTTGTTAGATCAACTCAATCTGAATTCTAGATACCCTGCAATTGAAAATTTTGCATCATTGCTGGAAAGCTCCTTGGAGTAGCGATCCCAAAAGAAAAAAGTTTCTAAGCGAGCACTTTGCTAGAATGAATTGCAACCTGTGAATGTCACGGACGGGAAGTGTCGTCCCTTGACATGAGTATATACTTGATGCACATGCATGTCGTGCATGATTTCGGAGGTGACCCTTGGGACAATAATTAGTTTTAAGCGATTTTTTCTTTTGACATTAGCTGAACATCTTTCGCCACTCAGTGTATTTTTTACATTTCAGCAGTTTATGGTTTATACAACCCTTTGGCCTTGGGGGAAAAAGCAGTTTATACAAGTATCTAATATGGATGACTTAGTTTCTTCTCTGTTTTGGCGTCCCTTACTCCATGATTGTTTTCTCATATTAGTGGAAGAGTAACAAATAGGTGAATATTTTCTACTATCTCAATGATAGCAATGTTATTCCATCAAGTGAATGGATTAGGGTGATGCCGTCCTCCGACTAGTTTCACTGTTATATATGGCTTCATAAGAATCGGCATGAATTTGGTTCAGTTTCACACGCATTCCTTGTTCTTGCACACAATCTTTATGGTAGACGAGTTTGAGAACGGGAATTTCTTATGTTGCATTCTATCAAGTTTTCCTCTACAATACTGTCCGTCTCTTCATTTATATGTATCTGAGAAGGTTCGATCATGAATAAACCAAGATTAGATCTTCCTTGTCGATACTTTCCTTTTTCTTGACAAGGGATCACTTGATCGGTGAATGCTGAAATCATGAAATATTTCACTAATTTCATGGATTTGGTAAGACGCGAACCGAAGTCTGTGTGGAAGGCCAAAGCACGGGATTTTTGCAATTTGACATATTTTTCGTGCAACGAAGCTTATTTTGTTATTTTACATGACGTTTAACAGTATAAAGAAGGATCCTCTTTATAAGGCCACCTTAGTCATGCAACTTTATATGTTCATGGAAGATGAATGAAGAAAATCATGAATTTACAGTCTCATGCCTTAACTTGGATGAATATGCACCCACAAGTGACACAGAAGTCTGGGATGTGTGCATGTTGCATCTGTGGTTTTCCCAACTAGTGCATTGAGTTGGATGTATGGATTATATATTTCCATCTTGTGACGGTAAAGAGGAAACTTCGCCGGAAGTGCGGTCATATATGTGAAGTTGCTATTTGATTGTGCAAATTGGTTTCCAATTGAGGTGACTGGTACTTCTGATTTTTCCCTGCAGGATTTTGTTCCTGAAGACCTCGAGAGCATCTCCAGCTTTGAACCCCCACAGTCCCCGGAGTCCAGCTATAACAACTTGTTTCTTGGATCCGAGGATTACGCAAAAGAGCCGCCCATGGTTCCGCCTCACCTACAGCTCACGCTTTTGAATGTGCCGGCACTCCACATGGAGATTCCACCGCCTTTGTCGAGACCCCAACACGTGGTGCTCAACCATCTTTATATGCAGAAGGGGAAGAGCAGCCCTGCGGTGGTTGCACTTGGCTCGTCGCACAGGTTCTTAGCCAAGTACGTGACGGTGGTGCTCTATAAATCCTTGCAGAGGTAGAGCATGTGTACTTTGTATCTGAGTGGGCTGTGTAGTATTCAGCCAGTCTTTTCCATTTGATTAAGAGGGTAATGCATTTTGTCAGTGGCTTATACTAGGAGGTCAGAAAAGAGTCAATCGCGAATGGAGCCTAATTGTAGTGATTTAGATGTAGACCATTTGATCGGATAGATGTTCGCGTCGATAATTTGGTCTGGCCTCTTTCGTGGTTTCGCCCGCTCATGCAACGAGGAATCTATCAAACATGTAGCACTGGAATTGCAATACTAAGAACTGCTCTCTCATTTTGGAGGAGAGATTGAATGACAGCCTTCTTTAATCATGTTTAGGATTCAAATTACAGTCATGATTGATTGTTGCATTTCTGATTTAGTGACATAGCAAATCAAGGTAACATCCAAGTCCAAAATTGAGGCCATATGTGGAGATAGTTGCTTCAGTGAGAATAAACCATAACTAATATATTACCGAGAATAGGCATGCCATCGTGTACGAAATACAAAGCAGGTTCCCTATCTATTCAAATCTTACAGATCTATGCTACTCTGCTCACACTCATACACATTCTGCTTATCTCCAAATTTGCAAGACAAATGACTAAAGGGCAAGCTCACATAGACACAGCTAATTGAAAACTGGGCAATTTGGGACCTTAATTCCTGGCGCGGTCGGACACGATGCTAGAGGACAGTGATCGATATCGGTTGCCCACCATTTCAAGTTTTTGTTCTCGTTCTGCAGAGCGAAGAACAACAGAACACCCATAAAAGCCGTCCCAGCATCCAATGCCGCAGATAAGACATAATTATATTTCTGCCACCAGCGTTTCCGGTATCTAAAGACGAAATAGTTGAAGATCGTTCCAGTGATGAGCCAGCTTGCTATATTGGTCGGAGTGGCTGGTGGCATTCCCGCGAATCCGTAGGATATGACCGGAATGTTTATCAAGGCAATCCATTTCTTTTCTGGGAAGATTTTGCTCAATGCCCAAATTGGCACAGGCAGGACAGCTCCGATGAGGAACAACCAAACCAGGTTTCTGTATAATCCTCCTGGTCCGAACAGCCTTCTTGGTCCAATCAATCCCCATATAACAGAAGCATCAAAGGTAACACGGTACTTAGGGCACGTCCATGGAGAATCGGGGTGTAATGCTTCGACGTCGCAAATGTTCTCGATGCTATCTAGCATCCACCATGCAACCGCGAGGTTGACCACTCCAGAAACTAGAGTACCAACAAGCTGAAAAAAGAACATCAAAACCAAGAAAAGAAAGAGCCATTATGCCATGACAGATACAACCTCGGGATACTAATGAGAGCCACGAAAGCAGGAACCTGGGAGCTGCAGATACCTGAGCTGTGTACATGCAGCGGGGCGGAATCTTCATGTAGTGCCCGAGTTTGAGATCAGATAAGAAAGAGAGAGCATGAATGGTGCTGATCCGTCCGTAGATCTTGAAAAGCAGATTCGCAATGGGTTTTCCTGGGAGCACATACCCTATAAGGAACTGCGCGATGATGTCGTATCCGGGTTGCTGCAAAAGAGAAGCAAATGGAAAAGCAGCATGTCAGCAATGCAAACCTTGCATTAAAGAACATAGAGAGAAGCGACCTAGTAACTAGCACCTCTATTTTTACCTGGTTGGTGGTCGCTTGAATGACCCCAATTGGCAGTGTAACAATAAAAGCCAAGCCGAAGGCGAATATCATCCCCCACCATGGCAGCTGAACTTCATCTTTCCACACGAAAGACATCATAAGGGATACGACGGCACTTCCTAACAGTAGAATGAGGAACCACCATTGAGGCACTTGTTTGTAACTTTGCATTAGCTTTGCGTGAATGTCCAGTTTTGCATTCTTGATGGCAGCTCTACTTTGCTTCATAATCTCGCTATAGGACACAAGCATGAAACAGTTCCATGAATGTATCCGTGTGAGTGTTGATAACGTGACATTACCCGATACATCTATTCAATTGAAATCAATAAGCTGGAAGGGACCGAAAAAAGATTTACCTGCCATGGAACAATGCCACATGAGTGAGCGTAGCCGTGAACCGAGCGAATCCCGTTGCTATTGAGAGGGCAAATAGAGGGCTCAAGTATAGCTTCCCATAACTTTCATAAGCAGAAACATTGAGATCATATTCTGGGGTCAATATCTTGGTGGTATCATACTTGAGCCCATCAGACTTGAACAGCTGATTCGAAAATATTGGGAACTTTCGAGCATTGAAAGTGTTGTACTTCCAGTAGCACAGAGGCACTATTATGTATATGAACATGATGAAGCCAATCCCGACATTGGCAATTGAATGCCATGGGGAAACGAGCGGGCTTCCGTGATAAGCGGAGATTCCGGCCCAATCAAGCGTGAAGGCGCCGACCCCGAGTCCATGGTATCCTGATCCTACTTGTTGGGCAGTGATACTGCGTGGCCAGGCCCAGCAGACCCAAGAGAAGAATGTCAGGATCGGGAATAGATAGCCTGGAAGTGCGTAGTAGACAAAGCTCGCCCCCATTGCCATGAGAAAGAACTGCATTCGGGTAAATCCTCTTGTTTTATGTTCCCTTTCATGGAGTGCTCTGCCAATAAGCAAGAACAAAAAGAATAGTGAGTCATGCTGTTCAACATAAAAGAGGATATAGAGAGGAACAAGGAAGGGATGTGCTTCCGATTGACATATTAAGGGGCTGCAATTTTCACAGCAGACTTTCTGATTTGCTCAACCGCTTGCAAGCATAAGGAGAAGAGCGAGAATAAAAATTTAATTGTGCATATTTTGCTGGTTTCCCCTCATTTCAGATTTGATACTATTTAGACACATGAATAATCTCACAATAGATCCATTTGTATTGATTGATTGTAGAACTTAGTGCTAGAGAATACATGGATTGCTTTTGTTTCTTTCGTCTAAGCATGATTAGTTCGATTGTTTCAATAAACTGGAATTCATGGACGATGAGAACTTCAGATGTTACGACCATTTTGCGGACCTGAACAGAGAAACCTGAGCAAGATTTGCAGGCCACCACATTTCGACAGGATCCACAAGGTACTTCCTCAGCAATCCAGCCCAGCCATATCCCAGTACCTGGATACCCACAATATAAAGATCAAGTGATTTTTAGAATTAGCACAATACACATATGACTACTCGAGGATCATAGAAGTGGATAAGGAGAGAAATTGAAACTATATGCAATCTGGAGCTCCTTAAGAAAACTCCATCTCAGTCCACTTTAAACTAGGAAACGAATCATTCCGACCCAATATGTCATGTTTTAGTCGCATATTCCTAGCTCTTGATGCCAGATGCTTAATTCATGCTCCATACTAAATGACCGAGTCCTTTTGTAAGAAGTTTATTACAAACACCAGATGCAGAACAACTAGTCCTCTCGAGCCGAAACAGCCTAAAGTTATCAGTTTTCCTACCACAAGGTGGGAGAGAACATTGACCGCAACCGAGGGCCACAAATGGGGTTTGGGGTCTGTGAATGAGACAGTACAACATTTAAACAGGCTTTAGCACTCGGGTAAGACTAAGACTAAAATGTAAAACTAATCCTAAAACTTCTGACAGCAGTTTTTGGTACACTACTAACAATAACCGCACTAAAGTTGCATAATAATTAGACAACTGGAAACAGTAAGCTTTATGAACACCCTGGCCTTCTCACTTCAACTCGAAAACATCTAACCAATAATTGAAAAAGAGAAGGCGAACACACAAAGACCCCAGACCACAAAACACACGAACTAGTCAAAAGGGGACCAAAGGAATCAACTCTTTTCCTCACCTGTGTGGTCAAGACAATGAGGAGGCCACAGAGAAAGCTCAGGTTCTGCTTGTAATAAGCCTTCATGACAGTGATGGCTCCAATGGAGTACGCATCGCCCCCACCGATGGACACTCCGCAGTTGGCGAAAATGGTGATGATCACATGCTCCTTCATGTTGAAAGGCCCCGGGTTCAAGCTAAAGCCGTACCCAAACACCTGGTACTCTTTCCTGGGCAGAGTCCTGGCCATGAACCTGCCGATGGGCAACACCGCGATCTGCATGAGGATGGCCGAGATGGTGAGGGGCTGCGTCCGGAAGGTGAAGAAGGTGTTGAGGAAGATGAGGACGACGCACGAGGCCAACCCGAGAGTCCACACTCGGAATGTCATCACCGGGAGCGATGGGTCGTCCGTTTCCGGCACGACCAAGGCCACTTCTTCCACCGGGCATCTTTCTACTTCTTCTCCAGCTTCTTCTGAGAAGTCTTTCTTTGGCTTTTCCGGGTCCAGCGTTTGGTCTATGGCGGCCATTGAAGGCAGGCTCGGGGTGGTTAGTGATGGCTCTCAAAGCTTGGATGTGTTATGCCTACAGTGTGTTGGGAGCGACAGAGCTCACTCCCTCTGTTTTCTACCTGTACTGGACCTTGGTACTTCTCCTGGAAAGTGTTGAGCTCCGAGGTAGTTATATAATACAAATGGGACACGAGTTTCTTGTCGCTCGCCGCACAAATTCGATTCCTTGTATTACCAATTGCAAAGGATTTCGTGCTTTCGTTATCCATTGCAATTTTTACTCGCGTCTTATTTGATTTGTGAGGTTGATGCGGTTGCATAAATCCGAGAGTTACCCATATTAAATGGGGTTCCTAGAGAAAAACGTATTAATGATCAAAAGACTTGTAAGGCTTTTGTGCTTTCCAACCAGAGCTTTTCACACTTCGTTTGTTCGCTAGGATTTGACGGGAACTGGTTGTTATGGGACCTTGCTGATCTCGAGACCCTACTGTCTCTTTTATTTTTTCAAGAATGACAAGGGTAAAAAGAAAAAGGAAATGACGGATTGAACCTGCTTTCTAACTAAAACATGCTGTTTTAATTTATAATCTTATCATCCTACATTAACATTTGGAATAACTATACAAATGATTCATAAATTTTAGCTCAATCTATAATGTCGTCCATGAAAACTAAACGAGATATTTCTTGAAACGACACCGATTTTATCTAGTCATTGCCGACCATCTTCCTGTCACGGCGGATAACCAAATGTGGATAATATTACTCGAAACAACAATGATTTCATCCATAAAAACGGAATTGAGCTGCAAATTCAGGCAAAAACTTGGCCGTGAGGGCTTGATTGCATATTTCACTCAAAGGTTTAGGACTATATCGATTCAATTCAAGGATTTATGACAGAATTTAAATTCATATAGTAGGTATAGTATTGAATCTGCAATTCTCACGGTATAAAACAAAAAAGGGTCGTCTTCTCTCGTTCCATCACGCACAC